GATACCTCCTTATAGCTCAGTGCTTTCCAGCACCCAAACATGATACATTTTTTTTTAATTTATTTATTTATACAAGCACTGGGTACAGTCAGAAGCGCGGGAGAGTGAGAGAATTCACCAGAGCCGGGAACAGAACAGGCAGACTGACGAAATACACTGCTGAGGGGAGCAGCGGGCATGGCAGGAGAGGTCTACGTGCTATGTGGGACCCTCTCCGGCAGCCAGGGATTGAACCAGCGCTGCAGAGGCTGCGGGCAGCTTCGCAACCCAGCGCTCAACCACTGTGCCACCAGGGAGGCCCCAAATATGATACATTTAAAGCATATCAGATGTAACTTAGACAAAACTTGATTAAAACAGTAGTCTCCAAAATTGTTTTTGGAAAGGAACCATGCATTTTAGAGGCATGCAAATGTCTTATTCCTCCAATAGTTGAAAACATTAAAATGTGTTCGTGTAGCTGTGAAAGATCCTTGTAAACAGTATTAAAGCTCTTCTAGCTCCAAATCTTAACAAATATTGACATAAGTGAAATACAGAATGTTATAAATAAGGTCCCTCCAATCTACTTATACCAGTAGCTTACATCTGCTTTCAAACACTAGCCTAAAGAACAACATGAAAATTAGTGTCCAAGGCATGGTATGTTAAATATGTGTCATTAAATCTTGGGTTTTTTTTTTTAAAGTTTTTGATATACTTAAGATTAATATTTGAATATCATGAGTGGAATTTTTCTTTCATTCAGCAAATATTTCTTGTACTGTAGGCTAGCACTGTTTCAGGGGATATTACAGTTAACAAAATTGATGTAGTCTGCTCTCCAGGAGTCTACATTTTACCAGGATATGTACTTGTTTCTCTGTGTCAGGTGGTCAAATGCCATGAAGACCAGCAAATGGAAATAAAAAGTAATAGGAATGCGGTGCTATTTTAGAAGGAGGGTCAGAGCCGAAATCTGAGCAGAAATCTGAATGACTACAACATGGATACTTGGGAGGCAAAGCTTTACAGCAAAGGGGAAAATACATGAAGCCAGTGACTGGAATGAAATGGGTCAAGAGGACAGAGGTCAGAGGTCAGAGAGGAGGGCTGAATTAGTTATGTGGCCAGGAAAGACTTGGTCTTTTACTGAATCACGTGGAAAGCCATTGGGTGTTTGGAGCAGAACAGTGACATGCTCTGACCTATGTTTTAAGAGTCACTCTAGGATGATAAAAAGGCTCTGTCCATTATGAATGTATTTAATGCCATGTACTATGGGCTATAAAATGGTAAATTTCATGTTTAATATATATACTCACCACAATATTTTTTTTAAAAAAGGATTATCTGACTGCTATATGCAGAATAAACTATAGAAGGTCAGAAACAGGAAGACCAGTTAAAAAGCTATTGCACTAGTGCCATCGATGGTGGTGACAGCTTGACCTAGATTAGTAACGACAGATGTGGGCATATTCTAGAAATACTTCAGAGGTAGAGCTGGCAGCACTTGATGATGACATGTGGAATGTGAGAGACTCCCAAGTTTTGCCCAGACAATTGGAAAAATGGAGCTTTCATTTGCTGTGTTTGAGAGGTGGAAATCAAGATTTAATTTTCAGATATGTTAACTTAGAGATGCCTAATTAGACATTTAAGATAAGATAAGCCAATGAATAGATATGCTAGTCTATTGTTGAGAAGTCTGAACTAAAGACATGTGGATGGTATTTAAAGGTCCTGCAGACAAAATCGAATACCCACCTGTCTTAGTCATTTGGGACTGGGATCAGAGTGTAGGGTAATGAGTTCAAAACCTTATTTACACATGAAATCATATGGGGAACTTCACACACCAATACCTAGGCTCCAGCCCTCCAGAGATGGGTATAATTGGTCTGAAGTGTGCTCACATGCCAGGACTGGTTAAGGTGCCCCCAGGTGATTCTCATCTGCCACCAAGACGGAAATGCTGCTTTAGTTCTAAGTCCCAGAATCACCAGGGAGTGCTTGTCAAAAGTGAAAATTCCCCCAGTTAATTCCTCAGCAGGGCCCACCAAATGAGCATTTAAATAATGATCCCACTTGAAAGACTGGTGTCAGAGAAATTTATTCTTCAGCAAAGTACTCTTTCTTCTAAAGTGCATCCCCAATCATTTTTCCCCATGGGCTGTAAGTGTAGTGATTCAACAAGTTCCTCTGGTGGTTTTAAGTTGGAGTGGTTGAGAACCACTGGTATAAAGCCCTCCTGCTCACACCGCCTTATTCATTGGAAGGCCATAACTAGAGCTCACACTCTTCTCTAACCTACCATACCATTCTCAGGGACTGCAACATCCTTGGGGATAAGCCACAAAAAATATCTTCCTCTCAGTTTAACATTCTTACCTCCAGTGTTTTCCAGGTTCTTCACAGCCCTCCACTCCACCTTGGCCACCCACTTCATGACTGTATCCAAAACCCCAGCCACAGCAATAAATGCTCCAGCTCCAGATCTCATCTTTAAGCATCCCACTCAGGAATCCTTGAAATTTCCTTTTACCCTAGCCAACCCACCATCACCTCCACCTTGTCTTACAATTAATTGTCCCACCATGAGTAATCTGGAGGTCTCACTTTTTCCACTACCCATCACCATCTTCCCTCTTCTTCCTAATAATTCCATAGACCATCACCACTCCCTGGCTGACATCTGAATATATCTTTCTCCTGTCTTATTTAACTAGTTAAAACTAAGATCTAATCTTTTCACAGCTGTACCAGAACTGCTGAGATGTGACATTACTTGAACACACCTCTAACCAAGCATATCTCAAATAGCACCAAATCTCAAAATGAGGTCTCCACAGTCCTGTGGTACAAATACACTTCCTGATAATTTCAAATTGCAATACCTGAGGTAATTATGTATTATCTCCCTTCCCAGCTTCCCACCCCTCCCCTTCCTACCTCCCCCACTGCTGATGATTCATTGAATAAAACCAATCGAACCGTCTCATCTTCACCCCCATGTCTTCACGGAACTAGCCTCATGGCCTCGGTTCTATCCCCTTACAGTAAAAGATATACTACTGCTCGCATTCTGGTCACATCACTCTATTTTTAATTCTCTGGACCTGTCTCTTCCCCCTTTTCAAGGGCTTTGCTCCTGCAGGCATCTCCTCTTCCTGATGAACCAGCAACTTCTAACTACTGACTTATTTCCATACTGTTTGTATGTTAATATATAATAAACTTAATACCTCCTTTACCCTAAATGCCTTTATGGTTATCAACAGTTTCTCTGCTTTTTAACAGCAAAAGTTCTAGAAAGTATAATCTATTTGCTGTCTTCTGACCCCTCCATTCCATTGAAACTTCTCTTTTCAAAAGCACCCTTTCATGTCACCAAATCCAACATGTCTGATTTTATCTTTCTCACTCACCACAGGGCTTGACTTATTGACTTGACTCAGTTTTTCTTTGCTTTCATAACATAATCCTCTTCCTATCTCTCTTGACCTGCTCTTTTATCTAACCCCTTACTTCTTGCTACTCAAAGCGTAGTCTATGGGACCGGCAGCATTGATAGCATCTTGTTATTAGATTTGCAGAGTGTCAGATCTCAGGACTACTGGCTCAGAATCAATATCACCAGATAAATCTTGGGACATTAAAGTTTTAGAATCACTGTTCTAAATGTGGGTGTGCCCCAGGGCCCTGTACTGTACTCTCCTTCCAGATGATCCCAAGCAGGCCCAAAGCTTTAAATACAATATTTTTTTTTAATCTCCAAATCTCTCTCTAGCCGTGATTTTCCTCCTAAATTCCAGGTTCATATACTCAAGAAGCCTACCTAACATCACCATCTGGATGTCTCAAATATTTCAAATTTAACATGTTGAGTAAAAACACTTCCCCACTTCGCCAAATAAAGATTAGCTAAATTAACAGAATCCTCATACATCTATCAGCTCGCCAGGTCCTCATATTGCCACTAAGAGACAGGTGCTATGTCCCCATTTTACAGTAAAGTAATTGAGACACAGCAAGTAACTGGCCAACAATCATACATCTCCAAAGCACTGCACCCAGGTTTTGAAGTAAGGAGCATGTTCTGGAATCTGATTACCTGTTTTACCTCTCAATTCCATCTGCCCATAGTTTAAAGAAGGAATTTAAAAGGAATCATTTATTTCCTCATCTTTCACTTTCAGTTCTGCACATTACATTTGCAAACATTATCTTGGATCCATATACTTCTCTCCATCCCCATGGCCACCACCATGTCCAAGTTACTATTTTGCTTGTGCATTTATTAACCTACCTGTTGTCTCTCTTTCTATTCTAGCCAGACTTTCCTCACAGTAGTGATTTTTTTTTAAATAAGAATCTGATGTTTCTTCATTGTTGGAACCCCTTCATGGGTTGATATATGTTTGACAGTAACCAAAAGAACCCTGAGCCCTGTCTTCTCTAGCCCCTCATCCTCATTATCCACAAGGGCTCACACTGCTGAGACATACCAAGCACATGACCCGTCCCTCAAATCTTAGCTTTTGCTGATCCTTCAGAACAAAACCATATTCTCTCCTTCCAGCTCCCCCTCACCCCACAGGTGTCAATTCTCATGTTGTCTCTTCTCAATCACCCCGTGGGTCACTTCATAATATCAGCCTGTTTCTTTCACAGCACTTACCACATCTGAATTGGGCAGAAAATCTACATGTAGTTAAAACCATGGATCAAGTCCTAGACTACCTACATTTAAATCTAAATTCTGCTTTATGACTTCTCTGTGGGGACTCACTGTCCTCATTAAGAAGGTTATAATAGTTTCTAGTTAACATGGCTGCTGTGATGAGTTACAGCAATATCTGGCACATACTAAGGACATAATTAAGTATTTGCTATAATTATGTATATTGAAGGGCAAAGACCTGCCTCTTCATTATTTATATTCTCAGTGCTTAGAACACCCACTTATAAAAGTTTGTGAAATGAATGATTACTGTTCTTTCATATAAGTGACAGTATCTACCAATTCCCATGCTATATTGATGTTTTATCCTGACATCACCAATTAATGTGCCTTCATGCTATATTTTACATGCATTTATTTTATTCTATTCATATGGTACAATTGTTTTACAAACTACAAAAAGTACAAAAGCTTAATCCATGTTTTAATACCAGGTGAGAGCTAATTTGAAAAAAGTTAAATAGCACAGTAGGTACCAAAGTAGTTCGGGTGTCCTGTACAAGTCATAATGATTTGCTGTATTTAAAGCTATAAATATTGCCACAGGAGAATTTCTTGTCTTTGCAGCGACCACACAATTCCTGTCGATGAGGTCTTCTCAGATCAGTATGTCTTTTCTTCTGAGGACAGGAACAAGGAGACTTTGAACAGGTCTTTGAAAAACAAGAAAAGAATTTAGACACTAAATGATCAAATAGTATGTCAAATGTAATCCTCAAATAAAAACTCTTCTCCCCACCACTCCATCCCCAATATCTTCAACCTCCTTTGAATCCAATAAGACCAAAACTAAGTCATTCAAACATAATAAACATCAAAGATAAATGTTCAGATATGGAGCTAATAGAGAAGATAACAAGAGAAAAAAATTAAAAGTTAAGGAGTTTGTAGAGTGTCTTCACTGTAAGTTTTTACATAGGTAGCCAAGTGGGTATGAGAAGTAGTTGATGAGTTTTCAGTGATTTGATAATCTAGACTTGGACATTTAAAATTACTAGACTAGTGATCCTCAACCAGGAGTATTTTACTCACTAGAGATATTTGGCTATGTCTAGAGAGATTTTTGGTTGTTGCAACTATCAGGGAGGGGTGTGCTAGAGGTAGTTGAATTTTTTTTTCCTGGACATGTACAATATTTATTAGAATTTAAAAGTGTTTTTAACCAGCATCCCATTCTGAATTCTGATCATTAAAAATCACACTCCATGGACACTGGTAAACTGCCCTTATTCAACTTCCCAACCTTGCCAATCTTTGAAATTGATGATCACAGTTCAATTTTCTGCACATGACTAATACCCAGAAAAAGAAAAAAAAATCAAGCTTTGCCTTTTATATTATGAAAAAAGGGCGTTTTTATTTTCCAAATTATAGTTTTAAATGTGATTTTACAAACACTATTCTACAGTTATACCTTCCACTCTTTCATGGACAGTATACATCCTTAAGAAAATTGTTGATAATTGCATGGTGTTTAGCATATGCACTGTTTTAATAATTATAGATCAGTGACTATGATGGGTTATAGCAGATGTGGAGGATCTAAGAGAATAATTAAGAAATGGGAGATGGGTTAGTAGATAATACTAATACTAATGGAAGGAGAAACAACAGCACAGGAAATATAGAGCATAAAGGATATGATGAAAGGTCTAATATGAGCAATTGAAAGAGAAAAGGACTGGAAGCAGTACTTTAAAGTTAATGATTGATAATTTTCCAAAAGTGATGAAAATCTGCATGCTACAAATTCGAGAAACACTATGAATCCCAACAGGATAAATACAAAGAAACCACAACTAGGTGTGTTATTTTAAAACTGCTAAAAAACAAAGCAGAAAGAAATATCTTAAACACAGATTTAAGAACAGGAGAAAGTGTGAGAGTGAGAAATCAAAGCAGATGCAAGAAGACTAACTTCCAACTTCACAGAAACAATGGTGAGACCCAGAAAGAGCAGAAGAACAACTGCTAACCTAAAATTTGTATCCCCAGAGAAAATATCTTTAAAAAATATTCAGACAAAATAGAATGTCTTTCCTCCAGACCTGCACTACAGGAAATTGTACAATCTATTCCTCAGGCAAAAAGAAAGTGCTCCCAGATACAAAATGGACCTAATAGTAACAGAAAGATAAATACATAGCTTAAAGCTAAATGAATAATGACTACAACAATGTCTTCTGAAGTTTAAAATATGTGTAAAGTTAAAATATACAAAAGCAGCAGCATATAAATTAGGATGAACTGATAAGGAGTTGAGAGTGTTCTAATACTATTGCATTGTAAAGGGAGGTAAGATGAACAATTTATGTAGGTACTTAAATGCCATAAAATCATGTTGTAATCTAGGATAACCAGCAAGAGAACTGAAGAATAACTATCAAGAGAATGGGGAAAGGGAGGTTGACCAACTTATAATATTTTTACAAGGTTATGAGAGAGGGGGTAAAGAATAATAATTTTTTTAAAGTGTAAGTGAATGCAAAAAATATAATATAAAAATAGTAATAGTATTTGAACCAAATTTAATAAATAATTATAGTAAACTGAATAATGACAATGTTATAAAAAAAGTAAGTCTAAATAACTTGTCAATCATTAGACAAGTTTTTAAAACATCGTTTCTAAGAAATATAAAAAAGGATATTTTTAATGATGTGAAGGTTTTAGATTTAAAGAAAAAAACCTCTTGATTATGAAAACCATCTGTCACACTTTTCTGAAAAAGTTAGGTTTCCTGCAAGCTATTGTAGATAAGATCTTATCTAATTCTGTGACTTCCTAGACATTGGAGACATCCCATAGAATCCTGCTGCAGCTCTAATACCAATCTAACCTTGAAAAGTTACTTCATCTTATTGGTTTCTTGGTCTGAAACATGGGAATAAAACCCATCTCAAAGGTTAGATTACAGGAGAAAATACATGTAAAGCCCTTAGCCCAAAGTTTGGCACATAGTTAAAGCTTAGTAAAAGTTTTTAAATATTGTTCCCAAACTATACACAGGGTGTTAGAGAAAATACACACACACATACCGTACACAAACACACTACATAAGACAACTTAAGTGTAAACCTTAGCCCTGACCTTAAAAAAAGACAGATTTATGTTTCCTAAAATATATTATTTCAAACATACAGAAAACCTAACAATGCAATAAAAATATCCAATTTTATCAAATAACATTTTGCCAGAGAACCTTCATGATTAAGCATTAAATCTTATTAGACATGATGGAAGTATTCTTTATACTCACCTGACATTGGATCGCTTCTACTCGATAAGGGTTAAAACTCTTTTGGCATTTACAACAGAGTTGTTTGAAATAAACCTAAAGAGAAATTTGTCTTTTTAATATAGTTGATTGTACCCTAGGCTCCCAGTTCTAAATTTAAGTTCTGTTCTCTCACCTTGTACCTTGCTTTTGCCCAACCTCTGACCTGAGGATTTTAGCCCTCTAATGTTATCAGTCACTTTTTTTTTTTTTTTTTTTACTCTTTGAACCTCACTTTCCTTACCTGTAAAATCAAGAGACTACTGCTGCTTACTTTTTCTATAATTCTGAAAACCATTCAACATAGTAAAGTCTTTATTGGGAAGGAATTCCTACAATATACTCAGTATGTGGGCCCAAATCCTTGGCTTTCTCCTGCTGTGCCTATCTAGTATCCCCTACTTTTTCAATTTTCAGTATGTCCCCACTTGAACTTCAAACTACTTGTAATTTCCCACTGATTGATGTGGTTTCTAGGCTTTGTGCATTTTCTTACACACGTTATCTGCCAGCCTTACTTGGGAATGCCTCTTCTTTATCCTTAAAATCCCACTCAGACATCATGATGTCTTTCCTCTGATGGGTTAGCCACCCTGCTCCTGTGTTACTTCTGGGCCACTCCCATGCCACAGGTGCCCAATGCTTATATCATCAAATTTCACTGTCTTGTCATTCCTATCAGAATATAATTCTTGAGATTGTTCTTTGAATCCTAGTGTCTCAGAATGTTGTTTTTCTTCTGGCAGGAGAAGTCATTTGGTTTATTTTCAAAAATATATTTGGTCCAAGATCTAGTCCAAAATGTTATATTTTCCTTCAGATATTAGCATGATTCCTTGCCCTTTCCCTCTATAGTCCATTAGCCAGAAAAGCAGTATCTAAAATGCAACAGCACAGGGCAGTCAAATTCAAATGCTTGTAAATGTGAATGAAATAGATCAAATGTAGACGGTGGTAACAGTGGCAGTGCTCAATGAGAGAACATAGAAGCTGCTCAGTCGCAGCTTACTGTTCTCATAATGAAGGGAGAATTAGTAATGACCAGAATCTGGTTGTTTAGGAAAACATGGAAATGCAGGAATTAATGAAAAATCTTTCTCAATCTTAATATGCTGAAAATAACTCAAATTAAGGAGCGGGATGAGGACTTCTTAACCTTTTTCTCACAGGCTAACCTTCGCAATGAATGATTTCTCTTTTAGCCCCACCTTGTGGACAAACCATGGAAATGTTCTAGAGCCAAACTTGTTCAAAGAATACCAATGAAAACTTCACTATAGAAAGACCCAACTTAAACGAAAGCAAGAGTTCACCTAAATAGCCTGACATTTTGTCTAATGGACCTACCAAACAATATAATACCAGGATATGGCCCAGGAGCTCAAGTCATCATGTGGATAGTTCAATTTAGTTTAATTCAAACATTTACTGAGCATCTATTATGTATCTGCACTGAAGAAGCCTAGAAGAATGAGACAGTTACATCCCAGTAGGAAGTATCTTCCTCCATTTCACATCTGTGCCTGCCCCATCCTCCTCCCATGTCCCATTCACTTTTACTTACCTTATTAGTTCCAGAAATGCACCACACATAAGCACTCTCCCATCTGGTCTTACAATCTTTACAGTGAAAATAGCCATATTTCGGTTCCAAAAACTGCAAATGGGGGTGGAGGGGAAAAGCATGTATCAGTTACTATCCTGGGAGAAAAAAAGCCAGATCTTTTTCCCTTGTCACTCTATTAAAAAAAAAAAAACTTATTTGTAGCTATTCTCAAGGTTACTTTATTAGTTCAGCATCTCATCTCCCAAGGGTTACTCTGGCTCTTCTTGCTGTCTCATACTTTTCCAGTCCGTTTTCCACAATGTCACCAGCTCAACCTCCCCCAAACAATAATCTGAAAATATATTTCAGACTTGAGGTCATTCCTCGTGTCATTTCCAATAGCAATGATTGCAAACTTTTATTTTTATAGACTTAGAATTGGCACGCTTTTTACCAAAAGTTAGAAAGCACATAATCCATGTAAAAACAGGTTTGCAGAATTCCCTCTCTTTCATCAGACAAAGGAAGGAAGCAAGAGATATTGTTCTTGTTGCCACAGAAAGAGAAACAGAAGAGTGGGATTGGCAGACAAGTGAGCAGAAGGTAGAGAAAGTGCACCTGGAAGTTGGGTTTTCCAAGCTGATGGACTGAGGCCACCTGTGCCTGCTTGCTGTTCCTTTCTGGAGGACTGGAGGCATCTTCCTCCCTCAAGTCATCCTGCTGCTGGAGTTTCTCCCACTTGTCCTCCTCCAGCTTTGGTGTTTGTGCTGACTGCAGTTGCCTGGCTTCCTCCGGAGTGGAAAGCATCTTCTCCTTGTCTTTCCCATCCTTCCTTAGCCGGATCAAGCTCCCATGTCCTATCGATGGCGAATAGACTCCCCAGGCTGGCAGAGGGGTTTTGTGGCTCATACTGCTCCAGACAGAGCGGCTGCGCAAGGTACGAGGCCCCAGGGAGCACTGCACTGCCTTTTCCACCCGAGGGCTCACCTGCACACCCATTTCCTTAGTATTAACTTTGCACAGTCGAAGGCTAAGGCTGGGGTTCATCTGGGACAGAACAGCCTTAAGCTGTGCCCTCTTGTAAGGGTCCATGCAGTAGTCAGAGGCATTCGCAGGCACCAACAGCCCTGGCCTGGCCAGAAAAGTTGGAGGACCAGTGTTTTGCCTCCAGTCGGGGTGTTTGTGCTCAGAATGTCCAGGCTGGCCCAATGCCATTGTGTTCCCATATCCCTGGTACAAACCATAGGGAACACGTATAATGCGCTCCATCTACTCACCTCGTGACCAAGCACAGGGCAAAATTCCAGTGTCCTGTCCAGGATTTGCCTTTTTCTCTCATCGGCCCCTTCTTTCTCGTGATCAAGTTTGGTTCAGATTCATCCCTAAGCTGCTGCATTTATTTCAGGTTCAGTTGGGAGCTGTCACTTATTACCTTAATTGAAAGAGGGAGGAGATCTATTTACAGAAGTTCAATTACCACGTGATTCCTAATTGCTTTTCCCTCTCTATTCAAGAAACACGTTTCATTATTCCACTCTTCCTGAATCATTTTTCCTAAGCTGTTTTTCATTTCTGACTTCTTACTCACACTTATGTTTTGATTAGCATTTAATTTGTTCCCATAGTGACTTACATTTTAGAGATCCTTCTTTAAAACATATAATAAATTGAATACAAGTAGTAAATTACTAGAGCAGCAGAACTGGAAGAGTATTAGGAAGAAAGTATTTTAAGACAATACTAATGAATATAAAGACCTGGTAGCACAGGAACAAGCAGCATAAAGTCTGTGTGTGCTGAGGAGGCGGGGCAGGAGAGCTGTGTATAGAAACAGAAAATATATTTCAGAGGGGTCTATAACATATCAATATTCCTCATTAGTTCATCCATAGTGAGGACCCCTCCCCCCAAAGAAAAGGCGGGGGGGGGGGAAGTAAATTGGTCTGCTTTAAAAGATAAATGTATATTTAGTCATGGGATAGTTAAGTAGTAAAAGTCAAACCTACTTGAAGACTGTTTCTTATTATCAGGTAAATTACTTAACTACATGATTGACTCATTTTCACCATCTGACAATTCTAACTTATTTATAGATTATTATAGGATTAAGTTTGATATAGGTTATAAAGCACAAAGCGGAACTCAAAAATTGTTCAGTAAATGGTAGCTATTATTAAATATGGGTCACAAGCCTGTGTTTCTTTGCTATATAGACCTAGTCAAGCATAAGCTTTGGTATCTGTATTGGAAAGGATTGCTGATTATCAAATTATAATGACGCCTAAGGAACCAAGTGGAACCCACCCTTTTTCTTTTTTTAAGATTTATTTATGTATACAAGAGCTGGGGTATAGGCTAGAAGTGTGGGGGGCGGGGGGGTGAGAGGATTCACCAGAGACAGAGTGGGGAACAGAACAGGCAGACTGACTGAAATACACTGCTGAGGGGAGCACCCGACAAGTCAGGAGGGGTCTGCTGTGCCATGTGGGTTGCTCCCTGGCCAGGGGATCCAACTCGTACTGCAGAGGCTGTCCTCAGCCTCATAATTTGCATCTTAACCCTTTGCGCCACCAGGGAGGCCCCACCCTTTTTCTAATCTAAAGTCGCTTCTGCTGTTTACTGGTGAAGAGCCTTCTGGTGCTGACAGGTTCATCAAAAACACTGGAAATGACTTTTCTTACTATCGATTCAAAGAAAGGAATATGGCATTATAACATAGTGCTGTCAGTGTAACGTAATGCATAAAATATCTGAATTATTTCAATAAATGTTTTTAATCAGTCCATGCCTTAATAGTGACAGTTTTCTATAAATACAAACACAAATTGTATTGTCTGGAAAAAAAAAAAACACTGAAAGGGCTTTTGTGGGGGAAAGAGCTTTCTGGAAGCAAGGTTCATGAGCAGCTCTCATCTATGAATCCTGTTGAAGGCTTTCTTTTTTTATATCATGAAACAGATTCAAAGCCATATACGAGGCATGTCACAGACCAACCACCACGTTGAGATTCCTGTCTTTTTCAGGGCATCGGGGTGAGGGGTTAGCTAGGGAGTAGGCACAATACAGGGTGACAATACCGAAGCCTGCAAAAGTGACTACATCCTACGCTGCTGGAGGTTGTTTCAATTGTTTAGCGGGGAAATAGATTCAGGTCTTGAAAACCAGCTACCTAAGAGCAACAGGAGGGGCTAGCCCGTCCGATCTCAGTCCTTTCCACTCTCTAAGGACGACGCAGGCAGGGAGTCACCCACAACCAATCAATTCGGGGTACTCATAGGTCAATCCATTTAGAGGGATGCCCGCTCTAAGTTTAGAATAAAAGCCTTCCAAACACCACAGGCCGTATCCCGGGGGAGGTCACCCACGAGTGAGGGTGGAGCTCAGAGAAATGGGAAGGAGTTGCGGGTGTACACAGGCGCTGTCCGTCCAAGCAGCGCGGCCTGGTACGCTCAAGACTTAAGGAGAAAAGAAACCAGCATGGCAGCCCCCTCTGTCAGCAGTCCGAGATCACGAGAAGGTCGTCGAAAAAGAAATTAATCGCCCCACAAAACCATGGCGTTAGCGGCAGCGGCACCGGCGCGGCGGTGGAGGCGCGACGACTTCCGGGTGGCGCGCGCGCTACGTGCCGCGTCATGACGTCATCTCAGGACGCGCCCGAGAGCGAGCGGGCTTTTGGCGCGAACGCCTGAAACAAGGTCGGCGGAAGCGAAGCGGCTGGGATGGGCGCCTTGTCAGGAAGAAGTCGGAGAGTCGGGTTTCTGATTTAAGTGTGGACGAGGTTTTTGTCAGCCCACTGTGGCCAAAAAGAGCTGCGCCTCAGGAGGCGGTTAGTGTTGGCTGGGGTGGAGACGGGCCTGTCTCCCGCGGGCCCCGGCGGCGGGGTAGCGTCCTTCGTACCCGGGGTGGGAGCCGGGGTTTCTTGCCCAGGTAGGTCTCTGCCATCCCGAAGTTGAGGGGGAGAAAGAACCGGCCCCGCAAATGGAAGAATCGGCTCTTCTGCAGAGCAAATTCGAACCCCGCCCCTTTACTGGGACTGCTTTCCCCAACTTTGGGCCCCGCGAGTCTCTCTGGGTTTGATTCCCAGCTGACCCAGATACCCCAATTGAAATTTACTTCATTGGAAACAAAGTTTCTTTAACGGAATATTGCTGTTTCGGGAAATGTTTTACAGTTCCTGGCACCCTGCATCTGCCTTACAAATTATCCTCAGGTGATTGCAGTGTAATGAGGATGAAAGTGTACTGATTTGTTCTTGTCCAACAGTTTTTATCTCTAATAGCCCTCGCTAATTGACTGCGTAACTAATTATAGGCAAATAATATTTAAAAGTCTGTTCATGAGTCACACTAGACACATTTCAAATGCTGACCGTGACTAGTAGCTACTGTGCTGGGCAACAAAGACAATGTTTCCGTCATTGTAGTACGTTCGTTTATAGTTCTTCCCCGAGGTAAATGGACAATGTAACTTAAGACAAATTTACCCACTTCCGATTTTAACATAACTCACCTAACAAGGACAGACTGCATCCCTGTGAAGTGTATTTTGGTCTTCTCTTTTGCAGATTGGAGTGACAGCGTAGATAAAAATGTCTGTTGGATGCAAAGAGAAGCCAATTTTTTATGAAATTTTTAAGACGCGTTGCAGTGAAGCAGGTATTGACGGTTTTCTATAAATTACATTAAGAAAATGTTTTCAATTACATTAAGAAAATGTTTTCAGAATGTGAAAATATGCGCACTTGCTGCAAAAAATCCAATATTTCACGTTTTTGTTTACACTGTAAATTGTTCTTTATGGGATCTTAAATTAAGAAAAGGGGCGGGCCTCTGCTGGTGGCGCCCCGGTTGCGCGCTGGGCTGCGAGGCTGCCCACACCCTCTGCAGCGCCCTTTGCTTCCCCAGCCACTGGCGAGGGTCCCACCAAAAAAAAAAAAAAAAAAAAAAAAAAGGTGGGGGGCACTTGTAGATAGGTCAATGGTAAGTACAGAACACCCCCTGGTGGACACATTGGAACTGGCTCAGGTAGCAGTAGGGAGAATTGTTTTTAAAGGGTAGAACTCCTGGCAAATCAGAATCATTTGAAAATGTTACTTTATAACAGAAGTTACCAAGCTTTCTGGTCTCTGTGCTCCTTACGCTCTTAAAAAATAATTCAGGACCTCAAACAACTTTCGTTTATGTAGATTACCATATTAGAATAGAGACATCTATTGCGTTAAAAATTACGAAGAGCATCCCTGGTGACACAAGGGGTTAAAACGCAGCCTATGAAGCTGTCTGCAGCCACCAAAGCACGCGTTCAATCCCCAGCCAGGGAGCTACCCACATGGCACAGCAGACCTCTCCTGGCTGGCCTGCTGTTCCCCTCAGCAGTGAATTTCAGTCGGTCTGCCTGTTCTGCTCCCCACTCTGTCTCTAGTGAGTCTTCTCACCCCCCCCACACCTCTGGCCTGTACCCCAGTTCTTGTATGCATAAATAAATCTTTAAAAAAATTACAAAAATAAACTCATTGTATTATTTATTGATATGAATAGCATTTTTATTCAAAATTACCATGTTGTCCAGAAAAAAATAGTGAGAAAAGGCATTTACAATTTTGCAGTCTCTTTAATGTTTGGCTTAGTAGAAGGTAGCTGGATTCACATAAGTATTTCTGAATTTACTCTGGTGCTGTATGTTTTGGTAAATACATATAAAGAAAATCCAGCCTTACACAGCAGTGTAGTTGGAAAAAGGAATATTTTGACAGTCTTTAGTTAACTGTGGGTATTTTTGTTTGATACAACGCCAGTACTTAAAGATAAAATTTTTTAAAGATAAAGGTAAAAATACCAACTTTGGATAGTTTATTAAAAGATATATAATGTGGAATCTTAAACCAATAATGAACTTTTCATACTTTTATTACGTTAAATTCTACTAGGCTTCTTTGCACTTTACATCTTCTATCCATATTGTAGCATAATGCAGTGACTATTTGGAAAATATTAGTGTTCTCAATCACACAGATATTTCATATATTGAAACATTGCACTAAATAATAAAAATCACATTCATTAATATTCATTGACCTCATCAGAAGTTTTAAGATTAGGACGGCATCAAGCTCACAGACTTTGATAAACTTTAACAAAACTATAATCCTCATTTGAAAACTCATATTTCATCTGGCAACAAACTGTTTGTTTCCCTGCACTAACAGGCTCACTTCATTCATTTTTGAGAAAAGTATCAAATTACCCCACTGAGAATGACTTGCTTTTTCAGTCATTCTTTCTAGTAAAACTGGAGTCACATGAAAAAAAAAGTGCTTATTCAGTGCACAGCTCATCATATAAGTGTTTTTCTAGACAACTGCACTTAAATATGCAGAAATGCTTTTTGCCTGCTTTCTGTTGTCTCATGAAGAGTATTAAAAAAATAAATATGTTCAAGGGTTGAGCTTTAATAAACTGATTTTTTACTGCTACATCAAGAACATTCTTAAATGGACTTTTTTCCTTCACAAGTGCATAGTAATGAAGAATACAATAACTGTTAGTATAATTTGTTGCCACTGCCCTGATTCATGCAGAGATATCATTTTCACTCATCAATGGTAAAAATATCAACATTGTGTAAAACACAGGTTAATAACCTTACTTTTGACCTATGGACCTCCTGAAAAGGTCTTAGGGAAATCATCCCCTAAAATGGTCCTCAGAGTACATTTATGTTGAGAACTACTACTTTAAGGGTGGGTAGGTCTTAAGAGAAATTTTGTCAGTTCTCTACAACAGAGAACCTTTTTACTCTATTTTTGTGAGCCCATGTGTTCCTGTTACCTCTAGATTTCTCACATGCACTTATATAGTCTTTATAATAATCATTTGTATTGTAACTATAGAATGCATTCTTATTATAATTTTTGTTTCTGAATCCTGAAGTTAAAATAGAAAGCTTTGGAAGAGCTAATATAGCTAAAGCTCTCTCCTTATAGCTTTTGTGAACTCTTGTTGTACCTTACTATACCTTACTACAGATTCATAAAAGAAGAGATTAATGATCTTGTTTAATTAATATGCCTTAACAAGTTATCCATGGTCAATATCTCAAGTATCCTTTTCTCTATTGCGATCTTTACTGGTTTGTGATATTTTCTGTGTCACTGATTAATACCAAGTTGTAACTTTTATTTTTCTTACAGATTTAGGACCAATAAGTCTTAACTGGTTTGAAGAACTTTCTTCAGAAGCTCCTTCCTATAATTCTCAACCTGTAGAAGAATCTGAATATAAAATCAGCGGTTATGAACCAAGCCTATTTAAAACACCACAAAGGAAACCTTATCAGTTGGCTTCAACTCCAATCATATTCAAAGAACAAGGTCTAAATCTGCCACTATACCACTCTCCTTCAAAAGAATTAGATAAATACAGATTAGACTTGGGTAAGTTATATGATATGGTACATTAGATAAAAACAAACTAGAAATTGACATTAGCAAAAGTGAATGAGACCAGGTTATAAAGGACCTTATAAATCATATTAAGGGCAAAAGGGAGATAATTAAAGATGCGAAGCAAAAGTAGCATGATCAAACCTGCAGATGATTTCTCTGATCAACAACCTATCAAATAAATTTTTTTAAAAGATTTATTTTATACAAGAACTGGGGTACAGGCCAGATACACGGGAGGGTGAGAGGATTCACCAGAGACAGAGCGGGGAACAGAACAGGCAGACTGACGAAATGCACTGCTGAGGGGAGCAACGGGCGAGGCAGGAGGGGTCTGCTTGCTGTGTAGGATGCTCCAAGGCCTGTAGGGATTGAACCAGCACTGCAGAGGTTGTGGACAGCTTCACAGCACTGTGCTCAGCTTCACAGCCCTGTGCTCAACCGCCTGTGCCACCAGGGAGGCCCCCAAATAAAATTTCTTTAGCCTGGCATTCAATGCCTACCTCTAATCTGCACTTTTTAGACTTAGGTTGTTTATTGGTCTCTTTCAGACACACAACACTCTAAACAATCTGAATTGCTGTTTTCTCTATAAACTACTTGTTCTTCCTCATGTTTTTTCCTCTGCCTAGAACATCATCACTCTATTCCATCTTCAGATTTCTGAATCAATACCTGTCCTTCAAGGTTAAATTCAAATTAATCATTCCCTAACTCTCCCAAAAACTATCTATGCTTTTTTTTTCTCAACTCCTGTTGTGCATTTTGTACTCTTCTTTTGGCATGAACCACATTCAACCTTAAATTACACTTTAACTGTGTATTATTAAGTCCCCTTACTAGAGAGTAATACTCCTAAAACAGGGAGGCTATGTTATACTTAAATCAAGCAAGTAACAAATATGTGAATGACTGAACATAATATGAATTATTGCACATAATTATTATATTGTAATATGATTATTTGTGCTACATGATTAATTGGAAATATTGGCACTCTGTCCTTTGTGATAGTGTACAGAAATGTTGCCATAATCCCCCTCCCACCCACTCTCAAATTTGCCATTCATTCATACTGACTTTCTTTTAGTTTATTGAAACCACCATACTGTGACTCTTTACACATTGTTTTCTCTGCCCCCAAAAAGTTCTTCCTACCTTTCTGTCTAGCTAATTTATATCATGTATCAGCTCTTGACTTATCTCTCTACTTCAAGAAAGTATTCCCTGTCGCATTTGTTTAGTTTCTAATGAAGGAGACCTGCACAAGCACTTATTATACACCAAGTGTTAATGAGAGAGCAAATTCATGGTACTAGAAAATGCACATATAAAGGGAATATGGATAATGGGCAAAGATTTTCTTGTATGTTTTTAAATACCAAGTGGCCTATGTAGTGAGTATTGAGTAAATATTTGTAGAATCAAATGAATATTTTGCTTTAGAAAACAATTATCTGGTAGCAGTCTTTGGAGATAATGTTTTTCAGAATGTGGTGTTTGAACCATCAGAATCTCTTGAAGCTCTGGTTGAAAGAGGTAGTTCCAGGCACTCTTCTGAATCTGTTAGACTCGCTGGAAATGAAGCCCTCAAATGTATAATTCAAATTAATTGGGTATTTATTATGAAAAGAGAAGACTGGAGGTAGCTGAATCAATTGACATGTAATGTTCCAGGTGATGGAGGCAAGTACCAAGTTAGAGTAATGGTAGTGAGAGTGGATATGGGAGGTAGAAGCTACAGGACCGTGCAATACCCTAGTATGGAAAATTCAAAAGGAAGGCTCAAATCACAGGTTTAGAGCATGACTGAGAATATAGTGGTGACATTCACAGAAATTTTTGACACTGGTGGAAAAAACAAGTTTGGGAAAAGGTTTGAAGGGGTGAGAAAAAGTTGGACTACAGTTTGAGGACAGGAATGTGATATTAAGGTAGAGATTCCTGAAGGTTTTGGGGAATGTATGACTGATACTAAAGGAATCAACTGATTGCAAAGAGAAAAAGTCATCACATAAAGTGAGATAATTGATCAGGCCTATGATGGAGCTTTAGGGTATATTTAGCAAATGAAATGTAGATGAGAACACAGAAAAGGCAATCATCTGTCGAACAAATATTGCAGCTGGCAAGTTGCTAGGCATTAAGGATACAAACATGAATAATATGGACTTTGACCTCTAGGACCTCAAATTATATGGCAGAAAATATGTAAGTAAATATATTGGTGTGATATACGTTATAATAGAAGCATGTACAAAGCACTGTGTTGTGGGCATAGTAAAGGAAGCAGCCATTTGTCTTAGTGTGTTCAGGAAAAGTGGTGTAAACCAGCCTGCAAAAACCTTGACAGGCATAACTAGAGACAGTGATTTTATTCTAATGGTAACCTGTTAGAAGTGGTCTGTCTATAGCCAGGTAAAATAGAAATGAGTGAATAAGGCCACTCTGGACTCCTTGCAGAAGAGTTTCAATTTTTTTAAGGTTATAGTGCATAAATTATTCTGTTAACTATAGTCTCCTGTTTTTGCTTTTAAGTTCAGCATTGAAATGTAAAAGTAATACTAAAACTTTTTTTAACCTGCTCTGTTGTGTTCTGGCATCTAATGAATACATTAAAAGAATTACTCCTAAATTTCCATGAGGAAATGTGCTATTCTGCTGCTCAAAAGTTCATCCTTTTTCATAAAATCATATAATTTATTTTACCATTTTTCAGCTTATTTATGAGATGGTCACATTATTTGGGAAATGTTTATTAGGGTATGACTTGTTTTTGCTTGGTTCTTTTTACTTTTTGCAGTTCTATTTCTTTGCTAAACTACTACTGATAATGTTATTTAAACCAAAGTCCTTTGTTTACACTAGAGTCATTGTTTGTACAGTTTTGTGGATTTTTGATAACTATGTTATATATTTACCATTACAGTATCATACTTTCAGCGAATAGTTTCAATGTCCTGAAAATCCCATCCTCCAACTCCCTACCCTCCAATCCTAGGCAACCATTGATCTTTTTGCTTGCTATAGTTTTTGTCTTTTCTAGAATGCCATATAGTTGAAATTAACACTTTTCAGAGCAATTTTTTTCATTTAGCAATATTACATACCTTCAGGTCTTTTTTTTAATCACTGCATAATGCTGTATTGTATGAATGTACCAGTTTATCCATTCCCCTATTGAAGGACATCTTAGATGCTTCAAAGTTTGGGCAGTTGTGAATAAATTTGCTGTAAACATGTTATGCTGGTTGTTGTGTGGACATAAGTTTTCAGCCCATTTGGGTAAAAACAAAGGAGCACAATTACTTGATTATAGGTAGGGTATGTTTAGTTTTATAATCTTCAAACCTTCCAAAGTAGGTATGCCATTTTGCATTTCCTGGATTTTTAGCCTTTCTAATATGTGTGTTGTTGTATTTCATCATTGGGTTTATTTTACTATATCCTGTTTGTGTGTGATTAGGATTTTTGTAAAAAGTAAAGAGAGGAAAAGTGAAATTTACAAAAATTTTAGCTACTTTTTAGTTTTTAACTAAAAGTCTCTTTGGAGACTTGGATGTTTTGGAGTGGGGTTTTTAAGTTACACATATATTTGACTTACTAGTGGTATGTCTGCTTATGACTTGAGAAATGAAGATACAATGTTGTGTATTACATTGCTACAAATAATTTTACTAACATTGATTCAACTTATTCCCCATCTTCCCTCCACTTCCCCCCCCCCACAATTTCTCTTAAGCGTTATAGTCAATTAAAGCAACTCTTTAAAGGCAACTTTTGAAGAGTAATAATAAGTAATTTGAATGCCAAATTGTGATATAGAAGATAGGAATGTAGAAAACTATAAATTAGATTTGATTGAGTCTCTTACAGCTCTAGAAACCTGGTCTGAGCATTATTGTCTAGAAATTAAATTGTTCAATAAAAACAGAAGTTTCATGCATTGCTAAATAGAACCTACTTTTCCATTACTGATTCAGCCAATAATGGACATTATTGTAGTTGTTGAAGGATACAATATAAATACGACAAGATCCTCATCTCAGGGAGTTCAGTCTAATAATAGGGGAAACAGGAATAGTTTATGATAAACTCTGTGGGAAAGAGGAAGGGCAGTCACTCTCACCTTAAAGTCCACTAAAGATTCCTAGAGAAGTTAATTTCAAAATGGAACATAATTTCAGAGGATGTTCAATACTGAGAGAAATAAAAAAGAAAGCTTGTACAAAGACCTAGATGTGAAAGAGCATTCTTTTAGGATATGCAAATGATTTGGCTATGGCTAAAAAATAGTGTGTGAAAGAATGTAGAAATTAAAAAGTAAGATCATGTAAGATCTTGTTATTGTGGGGTTTTGTTATGGGTCTTGATCTTGAGAATAAGATCTTGAAATGTTTTCAACAGAAGTGTGATATGATCAGATTCAATACCTTAGTAAGTTTTCAGTGAATGCCTTTTCCTTTATTTTTACCCTCCATGATACCATACTATGGTGTGTGACTTAATAACAGCACATATCACATGCTACTTTGTATTCCACTTGTATACATTTCAAAAAATTTCCCCCACTATTTTATGAATTCTTTGAGGTTAAAGGGCTATCATAAGTTGCATTACCCAAAGTGTCTTATGTATAGGATATGCTGAATATGGTTGTTGAATGGGGACAGACATCCCTTTTTTAGAGGAATCAACAGACTGAACTCCCCATAAATTCTCTTTCCCGTTTAGACAAAACTTTTTGTTTTTAAGAACTTCCAGACAGTGAAAATTCATAATATACTGCATATATATCACCCACTGAATTGTACTTTTCAGGAAAGGATATTACCAATAGCAAGCGTAAAAGTTATCACACAATGAAGGCCAAAACGGAACAAGCTAATGAAGTTACCAGTCCAGCTCTAAATTCTTGTCTTAGTGAAAGGTATGATGAAACTATTACATTAAAGATTTAAAGTTTCCTCCATACAATAATTGTGTTATAGAAATGCTTTCATTTTTGTGCTAATGTTTGGCTGTAAGCCTGGTAAAGGATCTTTTATTTTTAACCAACCTCTTTTTTAAAAAATTTTCTGTACAGAAAATTTTCTGTATAGTCTCAAATTTCTGTATAGTCTCAAATTTTTAAGTAATGAAAGTATTAATGATGAAAAGCAATGCCTTTGAAATATCAATTTAAAATAACATGTATATTTGAAATCTCTACAGAGAATATGATGTTATAGATTCACCTTACATAATTTTAGATTTCAGAATATACAGTTCCTAGCAGCTGAAATTTGTAAGTAATTTATGCATTGTTTTCAGTGGGCTTTTTTAATTTTTTGTTGAAGTACCATTGGTTTTCATTGTTAGTATTTTGGTAGTATAGGTCAGTGGGCATTTTAAACATAATTTAGTGGTTATTTAATTCTTCATGAGATATTTGCTTTTTGAAGACTTACTATAAAAATGTTACAAAGTAGTATAATTCTAACAATATGACCAACAATTGTGTTCCTTTTTTTTTTCCCAGTATAATTAGGGGTTTTTTCTTTTTACCACTTCTTTTAGCTTTTGACTAATATGCGGGATTTGTTTTGTTTTAGTCCTGATGTTCTGCAGTGTACACATGTAACACCACTCAGAGAAAAGTCAGGTATGATTAAAAATAAGGCTTTTTATTCTTAAAATACTCAGAACTTCATTAAAAATAAAACTTAGTAATTTTTCCCTTGTTTTACCCCTAGTGTTATGTGGAAGTTTATTTCATACACCAAAGCTAATGAAGGTAAATATTCTGCCTGGTTTTTATTGTTTAGTAATTGAGTTATTGACAAAAATTTGTCCTGAGATTTACAAATGTGTACCTACCGTCTCAGGCAAATGAATGATAAATGAAAAAAAAAAAGGGTGAAAAAAAATTCTTAATCCTCAATGCATTTCTGTGAAATAAACTTATTATTATTTTTTTTAATCTCCAGGGTCAAACAATAAAACGTATTTCTGAAAGTCTAGGAGCTGAGGTGGATCCTGATATGTCTTGGTCAAGTTCTTTAGCCACACCACCAACCCTTACCTCTACTGTGCTTATAGGTAATACTTGAAAATGAATACTATATATATTTAACATAAGAGTGTAGAGGACACAGAAAAATTATTGTCTTTCATGCTTCTATTAAATAGGAAAAGATAATTGCAAATTAGGTAATACTGTCTTTGATAAATATGTGAGCAATTAAGGATGATTTTTTTTTTTGTATTATTGACGTAATAACACTGACTTACAACACTATACATGATTTAAATGTACAGGTTCACATTTCCTCAGTTGTATCTTACCAAACAAGCATACCTACCAAGAAAAGCTCCCATAATGCTCTACTATAGTTCATTGTACCTCATGCCCCTTTTGCTTCCCTTCTAGCAGCCTCAGTTGTACAGTCAGATTTCTAGGGTTTATTTGGATTGGTTTTGTCTGCTTTGTTTGGTTTCTCTTTACTCCACATATAATAATCTGGTATGTGTCTTTATTATTCTGACTTATTTCCACTTGGCATATACCCCTCAGATCCCCACCATGTTGTCACAAATATCAAGATTTAATTTTTTTTAATGTCACTGAGTAGTAGTACAACATTGTGTGTATCTGTCATACCTTCTTAATCCACTCATCTGTCCTTAGGTACTTAGGTTCTTTCCATAGTTTGCCTAAATAGTGTTGCAGTAAACACAGGAGTGCACATATCCCTTTAAAATTTGTGTTTTTGCATTCTTTGGGTAGATACTTAGAAGTAGAATTGCTGGATCATACAGATCTTTATTTTTAATACCTTGAGAAACCTCTGTATTATTTTCCACAGAAGCAAGACCAGTCTGCATTCCCATCACTAGTGTATATGGGTTCCTTTTTCTTCATATCACCAACAGCACTTGTTGTTTCTGGTCTTTTTTTATATGGGCCATTCTCACAGATGTGAGGTGGTATGTCATGGTTTTGATTTGCATTTGGTATGATGATAGGACAACACACATGGATACAGTATGAACTGTTCCTTATTCCTTTTGCCTGGACAGCTTTATTGATCCTAATGTCAGTGTGCACATCTGGAGTGCCCATTTCCTTCATTGCAAATTTCCACAACTTAGTGCTTGAGGGGCATGCTTCTTGAACACTCCATGGATATGCTTCTGAATTGATTATGGTGTTTTTTTTCTGGTCACTACCTAGTTGAGGACAAAATAGCCTTTCTCACCACCCTTTGCAGCAACCATTCTGCTGGGCCCAAGTAGCAAAGGAAACATGATGAGCTTTTTCTCATGTGCCTGTTGGCCATCTATGTCTTTGGAGAAGTCTGTTTAGCTCGTCACCTATTTTTGTTTAGGTTTTTTTTTTTCTTTTTGTTGAGTTCTATGAACTCTTTGTAGCTCTTGGATATGAGCTCCTTGTCAAATATATAATGTATGAATATTTCATTCCATTCAGTAGGATGTCTTTTTGTTTTAATGGTAGTTTCTTTTGCTGTGCAGAAGCTTTTTAATTTAATATAGTCCTATTTATTTATCTTTGCTTTTTATTTCCCTTGCCATTGAAGTCAAGTCCCCAAAGACATCTCTGAAGTCAGTGTTTTAAATGATTTGTCTATGCTTACTTCTATGTCTTTCATGGTTTCAGATCATATATCCAAATCTCTAATACATTTTGAGTTAATTTTTTGTGGATAGTGTGAAAGAATGGTTTAGTTTCATTCTTTTGAATATGATTATCCACTTTTCTGAACATCATTTCTTAAAGATATTTTCCTTTTTCCATTGTATGCTTTGGCTCCTTTGTTGTACATTAACTGTAAGGTCCGTGTAAGTATGGGCCTATTTCTTGGCTCTGAATTCTATTTCATTGAACTGTGTGGCTATTTTTATTTCACTGCCATCCTATTTTGATTACTAGAGCTTTGTGGTATTATTTGAGGTCTGAGTATATTGTACATTGGTTCTTTTTGGCAGGATTTCTTTGTCTATCTGGGGCCCTTTCTTGTTCATGTAAATTTCAGTCATGTATGTTCTCTGTCTTTGAAGAATGCCATTGAAGATTTCCTAGGGGTTGCATTGAATCTATATCTTGCTTTGAGCAAGATGGCCATTTTAACGATGTTATTTTCCAATCCAAGAACTGGTATTATCTTTCCATTTTTTGTGTCTGCTATTTCTTTTGACAGTGCCTTACAGTTTTCATTGTACAGGTCTTTCACTTTTCACTTTCTTTGTTAAATTTATTCCTAGGTATTTAATTCTTTTTGATTTGACTGTAAATAGGTTTGTTTTCTTTCTAGTTCATTGATCGCCTTATTTTTCTGGAGAGTTTTTTAAATCATAAACAGGGCCTGAATCTTGTCAAATACTTTCTCTGCATCTATCGATATAATCATATGATTTTTATCTTTCTTTTTGTTGGTATGGTGAATTACATTGATTGATTTGCTTATCTAGAGCTAGCCTTGCATCATTAGACTAAGTCCCACTTAGTCATGATGTATGATCACTTTAATATGTTGTAGAATTAGTTTGCTAAGGATTTTTTGAGGATTTTTGCATCTGTGTTCATAGGGTTTTGTTTTTTGTGTTTTTGTTGTTGTTGTTTTGGTGATGTCCCTATCTGCTTTTGATAGCAGAGTAATGTTGACCTAATACACATGGAAGTACTCTCTTCTCCATGTTTTTGGATAGTTGAGAAGGATAGGTAAGATAGTTTGCCTACATTCCCTTAGTCAGGGGTGTGTGCCACCATACCATTTTACTCTACCCTCCCCAGGTCTTCTGGCTGAAGTGGTAGCCTGCTGATATATTCTCCCATCCTGGACCTCAGCCTCTGGCCTTTCACTCCTTCCACCTCCTATTGAGTGAAACCTATTTTTCTTTTGTGTTTCTTCTCTCTCAATCTGTTTTGATCTCCAGTGTCTCAGGTATATACCAGTTTTTCCCTAAACCATGGGACTCTGAGTGTAGTATCCCTCTGTTAAAACTGTTGGATGATCCTCTCAGGAGCAAAGCAAGGATCCTGCTCTGATCCCACCGTGGTTTCCCCTACAAGGATGATTTTATTCTATTTAGTGTAGATTTGGATATATCAAAAGTATATCAAATGGTATTCTGGACAAACTTCATGTTTTATTACTGTGCCAATCTAGAATAGCCATTTTCCTATACATGTATGTAAGCTTTTAAAAGCTAGTATTTGGTGTAGTAGTGAATTTTAACTGGTCATTTTGATACATGAGGCATAATTAAACTTCTCTCTACCTAAATTTGTTCTACAGTACTAGTTGCCGCTAGTACTGAATTGAGGTCATAAATTTCATAATTGTAATTATACTGTGTGATTATCTGAAATGTTTAATTTACCCATCCATTTGACTCCAAGCTCTGCAGGCTCACCATAGTTTCTTGGCACATAGTCGGTAGTCAACCAGTCTTCATGGAAATGAATGTATTTTAAATATACAACTAGTATTCTTTAGACATTTAGAATGTTTAAATATATGAGTCAATGAATAAATTAATAATTCATAAACTTATCAGGATTGAGAATATTTCCTGTTGTAAAACACACAACTTAAAATCTTAGTAGCTGAGATTTTTTTTTTTTTGTGGGACCCTTGCCGATGGCTGGGTATGGAACTGGCGCTGCAGAGTCTACGGGCAGCCTCGCAACCCAGCACTCAACCGCTCTGCCACCAGGGGAGGCCCAGTAGCTGAGATTTTTTAATTAGTATTTAAGAAAACAGTGACCTTTTTCAATTTTCTAAGATTACAGTAACAATCTAAATATAAAGAAATGATTAGGGCCTCCCCGGTGGTGCAGCGGGTTGAGCACCTCGCTGTGCAGCTGTCTGCAGCCTCTACAGTGCGGGTTCGATTTCTGGCCAGCTGGGGAGAAACCCACATGGTGTAGCAGACCACCGCTGCCCCCCTCAGCAGTGTCTTCAGTCTGTCTGCTTGTTTTTCTCCCTGCTCTGTCTTCAGTGAATTCTCTCACCCTCCCGCGCCTCGGACTGTACCCCAGTTCTTGTATAAATAAATAAATCTTTAAAAAAATAATAATAAAATAAAGAAATGATTATAAATAAATGTGATAAAACACAGCGTGAACAAGTATTTGAAAGTGCATCCAAATAGATCCTTCATAATTTATGGGGAAGGCAATAAATATGTGATAATAATGGAGGAAAAAGTAAATATTCACCAACAACAGTTTTGTTTTTTGGGAGAGGGGAACATAATGCGCTAAATCAGTGTTTCTCAAGTTGCAAATCATAACCCATTAATAGTTGTGAAATTTATACTCAAAAATTATTCATTGTTTATCTGAAATTCAGATTTAACAGAGCACCCCATATTTTATCTGGCAACCCTATACATAGCAAAGCTTGTTTTATGAATAAACTTTTGTTTTTCTTATATTTGTGTGTGTATTTGTATGTATTTTCACATGTATGTGTAGAGTCATAAAATATATGTACTCTGGGTTGTAATCAGAGCTAAAATTCAAATTAATTTATACTCAAGCTAGGATGTTTTTTCCATTTAGTGTGTTCTAGTGAAAGCACATTCAATTCTGTTTATATTCCTTTTAATCTGGGAATTTAGCTTCCTTTTTTTGTTTATATAAAATGATAACAGGTACAAGCATATTGAAAAGTAAGATGCATTTAACATATTATATGCCTATAGACTTTATTGTTGTCTAAATACATGCTAAGGTTTACCTGGTTTAGCTCTTAAATCAACCTCACAGCTGCGTTTGATTTTTCAAGTCTTTGTGGATATTATTACCTTAAAATCAGGATCACTAAACCATACTTTCTTAAAATGATATTGAAGAAATGAGTATAGCTTGCTCATTATGTTGATTCATCTTTCTAATTACCGTACTTTGGTTAAAAAATTTGTTTCAAATGTGTCATTGAAACCAATAACATATGACTTTTGATGTTTGACCAAAAAATTACACTTTTTGCATTAGTTTTAATATATGATCTACAATACAGTGTAAATTGAATATATTTTTTACAGCCAGAGATGAGGAAGGATCTGCAACTGTGTTTCCTAGTGATGCTACTGCTGTAAGTAAATATGGCAAATTGATTATGCTGTTGCAATTGCTTATAACTTTAGAATGCTTTGAGAATTATTTTACATTTCTCATTCCTTAATTTATGATTTATCTAAGCCTTTGAAAAACTCTCTAAACCTGTTTCTAGGTGATTTTGTTTGACTTCTATGAAACTTTGTTGTCTTTGTCAAGAATACATTATGCGCATATACTTTTGCAGATTTTGAAAAGCTATTTTTCTAACCATGATGAAAGTCTGAAGAAAAATGATAGGATTATTGCTTCTGGGCCAGATAATGAAAATAAAATTCAAAGAGAATCTAAAAGTCATGGTAAGTCTTTCTGTTTTGTTGAAATACTGTTTTTAACTGACATTATGAAAATATTGCTCCTCTATTTCAGCAAAGAGAAAACACATTTTTTTCTCCTTTCTTGACTACTGTAGTGTTTTATCTCAAGGTATGGAGAGTAAGAACTAACTTGATTTAGATAAAAATGTTTAAACATTATACTAAGAAAATACTGTTCAACATGGCTATTGTAACAAAAGCTGATTACTCAAAACTTTGCAGAAATGAAGAATAGGGCAAGATAAATTAAATGTGAAGGCTTAATTTCTAATTTATAAGTAAAGATGACTATATATATAGCAAATGTTACCTAATCAGTGATTGGAATATTGCGTTTTTCTTAGTATGTGTGTATCTCTGTGTGGCTATGAAGGCTTGGCTATGTGTATGATATGCACACATAAACTACTGTATATGTGAAGTCAGATTTTATTCTCAGTTGATGCAGAACCACAAAATTAATTTGGAACATTTGGTTTGATAAATTTTAGATTAAATTGTGTGTTTATATAATAAGATTGGGTGAGTTCTAATTGTGTCAAGCTGACAAAGGTTTTTGGCACTGGGGTATAAATAAACAGTTTTTGCATACATTGGAATCAATATTTACTAAAAGACAGAGGAAGTGTGATGCCAAAAAATAAAGTACAAATAGCTTTCACTTAGAATAACTCCTTAAATGCCAGATTACCTTATTTGTATATACTGTTTCTGTGAAAAATGTTGTGAGAATAGTATGTGTTATATGATTTTATTACAAAAATACTATTAATTTGCTTCTGTTTTAAATTTTGACAGGATTGGGGGAAATATTAGAGAATTCATTTGGAAAATTAAATAGCTGCAAAGACCATTTTGAAAAATCAGCACCAAATGTTCTAGAAGATGAAATACATGAAATAGTTACAGATGTTTCTGAAGAAGATAGTTTTTTATTATGTATTTCTAAATATAAGACAAGAAATCTACAAAAATTAAAAACTGGCAAGACTAGGAAAAATATTTTTAATGAAACAAAAACTGATGAATGTGAAAAAGCTAAACAGCCAATAAAAGAAAATAAACACTCACTTATGCCTGAAGGAAAACCGAATGACAGTTTTCCATTAGATTCAAATGTAACAAACCAGAAGCCTTTTGGGAATGGAAGTGGCCATATGCCTAAGGAAGAAGTAACATCTTCAGCCTCTAAACAGTCTCAGCTAACCCTCTCAGGTCTAAATGGAACCCAAATGAAGAAAATACACCTACCATGTATTTCTACTAGTGACCGCAATAATTCAGAAAAAGAGCTCATAGGCACAGAAAGGGAATGTATCAATTTTATTACTTTAGAAAAGTCTTTGCCACATATATCAAATCTGCCAAAAACAGAAGAGATAGTAAGTAAGGAAACAGTGGTAAGTAAGAGAAATGGAGGACAGTGTCTTGAGTCTCATGAAGATTCCATTCCTGTGGTAAAGCAAACAATATCTGAAACTTCTCTAATAATTTCTCCACCTCAGGATATCAAAAAGCCTATATTCAAGGTAAGAAAGTCACCTGAAGAGACATTCAGTGCAGTTTTCTCAAGTAATATGACTGATCCAAACTTTAAAGAAGATCCTGAAGCCTCTGAAAGTGAATTAGAAATACATACTATTTGCTCACAGAAAGAAGATTCATTATGTTTAAATTCAGTGGATAACAGTAACTGGCCAACCACTATCAAACATACTTCTGTGGCTGTGAAGAATGCAGGTTTAATATCCACTTTGAAAAAGAAAACCAAAAAGTTTATTTATGCTATAAGTAATGAAACATCTAATCAAGGAGAAAAAGTTTGGGAAGACCAAGATTCAGAACTCACTGACTGTTCAACCCAATTCGAAGCAAACCCTCCTGAAGCCCCAATTATATTTACGAATGCTAATTCAGGTAACTGTGTGTGTGTGTGTGTGTGTGTGTGACTAACACATATAGTTTTGAGGATGGCGAAAAGTTCTCTTATTTGAATATTTAGTCTCTTTTAAAAATGTACTGCCTGTTTTCCTTCTATAGTTTTTTTTTTTTAATATATAATTTCTACATTTTGTACTCAATGTCAGGCAAAGTACATAATTACTGTTTAGGTCTTTGGTTACCAGTGTTCAGAATTACAGCACTGACACTCATTGGATTAGTTCTCATAGTTATATGTAACCATCACCTTTGACAGAGCATGTGCTGAAAAAAACATCAAGAACTTAGCTTCTTAATGCCTGCTTTAATTTTAAGTGTTCATTATATGCAAATTGAACAATTCTGTAAAATATGCTATGGTATTTACTTTTTATTTTCTCTGAAACATTTTAAAAAGAGGAAAATGTTAATTGCTAACTAAAATTAATGTAAGCCAGTCCTAAAACATAGTAGTGAGTTTTTTAATACCGCTTTCTTAATTAGTTATAAATTGTTTAGAGTTACTACTATATCACTCTTCATGTACAGTGAAACTCATATTTACTTTGAGCAATAATTTATCAGTAGCTAAAATGTATGTTTAAAAAGATGATTTGTTTTACCTCCTTATAGGAGGATTTTAGTAGATGGTAATATCTTTGAATAATAGGTAGAACTGGACTACAGAGAAACTGAGAATTCAGTTAATTTCTAAAGAAAAATGTTTGATGTATATTTCAGAATTAATAACTAATGAAACAGCTAACATATTGTCACTGATTTGGTAAAACGAGATTAGTTTGACTTTTTAGTAAGAAATTTACATGGTCAGTAAAATTAATTGAATAGAGCAGTTGGACCCATTTGCTTTCTATTTGAGATTAGGTAATTTTTCATATGTAGATCTTATTTTTGAAAGTTGATTCCTCCCCCCGCATATGAAAGATTGAATTAACTAAAGGAAATGTTTGGTATTCTCATCCTTTCCTCTTCTCTGCTTTTCTGTCTCCTGTTATACAAATATTAGTTATGGATTCACTCCAGTTTTACATTGCCATGAAAGTATTTTGAATCTTAATTATGGTAGCTGTCTGCTTTAATGAACTATGTACTAATTTTGATTGAGTTGATACATATTACAAAAAATACTGGTTTCTACTTATCTTTGGTTGGAAAATGTAATCACTTCAAAGTAGAGAATATTTATAATGCTGTTTTAAATCTGATATTCAACATTTACTTTTTGCTTTTCATGTAATTCTCATTTTAGACACTACCTTTTTAATTTAGTGAAAATATTTAGTAAGTGGTTGATGGTACTTTTATTACTTTGTATCTTCTTCTTTAGGTTCATTGCATTATTCCATCAAAAAAAACAGTTTACAGACTAATTCTGAAGAACCAAAGTGGTCCTTAACCAGTTCTTTGGGGACAAATCTGAGAAAATGCTCCAATAATGAAAGCATTTCGCCTAATAAAATATTTCAAGAACTTGATTATAAAGATCTAAAAATTAATAAGGAAAAATCACAGTCATTTATAACTACAGAAACTAATTGTCTTTCAAGCTTTCTGGAAAGACATTATGAAGATGATCCAAAATGCCAAAGAATTTCAGATGTAAAAGAAAAGGTCTTGCCTGCAGCTTGTCACCATGAAAATCCATATCCAGAAGTGGAATGTAGTAATATTCACTTTCAACCCCAGGAAAGCTTTTTATATGGCCATGATAATACCACCATTTTAACTCTTAGCTCCAAAGTTCCTCTGTCAAACCCAGTTGAGACTTCTAGAGCAAAAGAATCATACAAAATGTCAAAGAAATTAACATGTAAGAATGGTGAAGCTGGTTTTGAGTTAACCAAATGTATTCCCATTAAAAAGAATCAAGAAATATGTATTTTAAATGAAAGCTCTAAAAAAGCTGAGTTCTTATCACCTTCTGTGAAGGAACATTTCAGCCAAATTCACAATCCCACAGTAACCCAAAAAGGCCAAGAAGATACTGCTTTAGTTTCAAAAATAACTGTCAGTCCAAATTCTGAAGAACTTTTCCCAGGCAATGAGAATAACTTAGTTCCATCTAGTGAAGGGAATATTCCTGTTTTAGAAAATAGTAAAGAATTTCATGAGGCAGCCCTCAGTCATGTAAAAGAACGCATTCTCAAGAGCTCTAATATGATAGGTACAGATATAGATGACAAGCAAGCAATGCAGGTGTTGATTACAAGAGATTTTGATTCATCAAATGCAGTCCATAATCTTAGAGAGAACAGAAACACTGTAAAGCAACAATTCAATATGACTCTAGTTCAAGATTTGAAGTCTGACATCTCCTTGAATATAGATGTAAAATCAAGTATGAATAATGATTACATGAATAAAGGGGCCGGACTCTCAGATCCAATTTCAAATCATAATTTTGGAAATGGCTTCAAAACAGCTTCTAATAAAGAGATAAAACTCTCTGAACACAATCTTAAGAAAAGTAAAATGCTCTTCAAAGATATTGAAGAACAGCATCCTATTAACTTACCTTATGTTGAGACTATAAATCCCTTATTAGGTAATCAAAAGAAACAAAGCAAACCTCACGCACTTGATTTACTGTCAACTAATATTGTTTATGGGTATGTACAGAGTAATGTGTTCGTTTCTGATAGTGAAAATAATCACACGTCTCCAGTTTTACCTTTAAATCAAGATCTTTATTCAAACCATAATTTAACACCTAGCCAAAAGGCAGAAATAACTGAACTTTCAACTATATTGGAAGAATCAGGAAGTCAGTTTGAATTTACACAGTTTAAGAAGCCAAGGCACATACCACAGAATAAGCCATTAGAAATGCCTGAAAAACAGATCACTATCTTGAATCCCAATCCAGAGGAATGGAAAGATCCTCATCTGCAGCTCACAGTTAATGCCCCAATGACCTGTCAGGTAAACAACAAATTTGAGGATAAAGTTGGAGGTAAGCAAAAGTTTGCTTGCTTATTGAAAACCAACTGCAACAAAAATACTGTCTATTTAGCGGATAAAAATGAAGTGGAGTTTAGTGGCTTTTATTCTGCTCTTGGAACAAAACTGAATGTTTCTAGTGAAGCCCTGCAAAAAGCCATGAAACTATTCAGTGACATTGAGAATAGTAGTGAGGAAACTTCTGCAGAAGTAGGTCCAGGAAATTTCACTTCAAGTAAATGTATTGATTCTGTTGTTTCAATGTGTAAGATAGAAAATTATAACAATGAGAAAAATAATAAATGCCAAATAATATTACAAAATAATACTGAGATAACTACTGGCCTTTTTGTTGAAGAAAAGACTGAAGATTACAAAAGCAGTAAAGAAAATGAAGATAATAGATTTACTGGTGCTAGCAGAAACATCTGTAACTTAGTAGAAACTGATGACAATGATTCAAGTAAAAATGATACAGCTTGTATTCAGGGAGAGAAAAATGGCTTGCCGTTTATTGATCACAACATATGCGAAAAATTATCCAGCCAGTTTATGAAAGAGGGAAACACTCTAATTAAAGAAGGTTTATCAGATTTAACTTGTTTGGAAGTTGTGAAAGCTGAAGAAACATTTCATGTTAATGCTTCAAATAAAGAAGTATTAACTGCTAATAAGATGGGGCAAAATATAAAATATTTTGACACTTTTGATTTATCCTTTCAGACTGCAAGTGGGAAAAATATCAAAATATCCAAAGAGTCACTAAATAAAGTTGTAAATTTCTTTCATGAAAAATGTACAGAAAAAGAATTGAACAGCTTTTCAGACTCCATGAATTCTGAATTATTTTTTGACATGAACAAAGTAGACATTTCAAGTCATGAAGAAACAGATATGGTTAAAGATAAAATATTGAAAGAAAATGACCCCATTGGTGCTGAAAATCAATTACTGACTCTCCAGCAACTACCAGAATATGAAATTGAAAAGATCAAAAACTCTACTATGTTGTGTTTCCATACTGCTAGTGGGAAAAAAGTGAAAATTGCAAAGGACTCTTTGGACAAAGTGAGACATATTTTTGACGAAGAAAAACAGAGCAGTAGTAGTAAAATCAATAATGTTAGTCATCAAGGAACAAAGATACTAAAGGACAGAGTGGTATGTAAAGAAGGGCTTGAATTAACATGTGAGACAGGTGAAATAACTGTTCCAAAATATGAAGAAATGCAGCAATCTCTAGAAGAGAAAAAAATTGTTTCTAATCAGATTGTCATGCTACCCAGACTTTTAAATGATAATTTATATAGACAAACTGGAAATAACAAAATATCAAATAGTATCTCTCTAAATGTTAAAGTACCTGAAAATAAAGAAAAAGAAACAGCAAAAAGTCCTATAACTTATACAAATCAATCAACTTCAGCCATTGGAAATTCAGCTTTTGCATTTTGCACTGGACATGGTAAAAAAATTTCTGTGAGTCAGGCATCACTATTTGAAGCAAAAAAATGGCTTAGAGAAGGAGAATTCAATAAACCAGAAAAAATAAATGTTACCAATATTATGTGTTTAAAAGAATATCCTGAGGATTATGTAGAAAATCCTTCAAATGGAAATAGTTCAAATAATATCTTCATTGAAAATGACGAAAGTCATCTCTCTCCAAAACGACATACAACTTATTTAAGTAACAGAAGCACATCTGACAGCTGTGGGTCTCATTCTGATTTTTGTCATTCTAATGATATATATGATAAATCAGAAAAGCTCTCAAAAAATAAAATTAATAAATCTGATATTGAACCAAAAGTCAAGGATGTCAAAGACAGAAAAAACACTAGTTCTTCTGAAGTAACAGCTACCATAAGAGGAGAAAACACATGCCCACAAACTGAAGATATTTGTGTTCAGAAACCTGTGAGTAAATCTTCACCATGCAAAAATAAAAATACAGCCAATAAATTGTCCATATATGATTCAGATAACTTTGAGGAAGGGCCACCTGCATTCTGTACAAGTGCTAAATTAGACTTTGTTTCACATGAAGCAAGAAGAGAAAGATTGACATTAGGCAAAACATTGAGTAATTGCAGTGCGGTAAATAAGCAAAGTATTAAGAATAAATCGGGCACTTGCCAAGCAAAAATTGTGTCAGGTTATCAGAAGGCATTGAATGATTCAGAGGATAGTATTCCCAACTCTCAGGATGGTAAAGAATATAGTATGCATTCACAAGTTTCTCCTGACATTCAAAGTGAACAAATGTTACAAAATGACCAAAGTATGTCTGGATCAGAGAATGTTTCTGGAAAAATACCATGTCAGATTAATATGAAAACTTTTGATACATGTAAATTTAATATGGAAAAGCTTCCCAAAACAGTCTCTGCTGCAAATACATGTGGGATTTTTAGCACAGCAAGTGGAAAATCTGTACAATTATCAGATGCTGCACTACAAAAGGCAAGACAGGTGTTCTCTAAGATAGAAGATAATACCAATCCACACTTTTCCAAAGTATCTTACAAAAATGAACATTCAGATAAACTCACAAAGGAAAAAAATGCTATGGTATATACTCCTTCAGAATTACCTGCTTTCTCTGGATTTAGTACAGCAAGTGGAAAACAGGTTTCAGTTTCTGAAAGTGCCTTAAACAAAGTTAAGGGAATGTTAGAGGAATTTGATTTAATCAGAACCAAATATATTCTTCAGCATTCACCTCCATCTAAACAAGATGCATCAGAGATACTTCCTCTCCCCCATATTGATAAGAGTACCCCAAAGCACTCTGTAAACTTGAAAATGGAAAACACCTACAATAAAGAACTTAAAGTATCAAATAACGGTACTATTGAATGTGATTCTTCAGAAAATAATCACTCTATTAAAGTTTCTCCATATGTCTCTCAGTTTAAGCAAGACAAACAACAGTTGTTAATAGGAACCAAAGTATCACTTGTTGGGAACCACCAGCTTTTGGGAAAAGAACAAGCTTTACCTGCAAAAACAGAAATGGAAATTGGTAAAACTGAAACTTTATCTAATCTCCCGATGAAAGCAAATAAAGAAGCTTGTTCTACTTACTCCAAACATCCAGAAAACTATTTTGATAGAGAAGCGGTAGAGATTGCCAAAGCTTTTATGGAAGATGGTGACTTGACAGATTCTGAACTAAGTCATGCCAAACACTCACTTTTTTCATGCCTAAAAAACAAGGAAGCAGTTTTATTAAATTCAAGAATTGGGAAAAGAAGGGGAGACTCATTTGGCTCAGTTGGTAAGTATCTTATTTTTCTTTTGGGTTTGCCAGTCGGTTTTCCTTAGCAGTCCTGGCATACTGCCTTATAACAATTAGTCTTGTAAACTAAGTATATTTTTTCAGACTTTATGTGTAGTTTAGTGGAAATATGATATAACTCAATTTCTGTGCACTACCATAGTGTTTTGAGGTTCTTAGTTTTTTAAAGGTTACTGATATAATTGAGAAATTACTATTAAAAGTTTGAGTTTCTCTAGAAAAGGTGACATTTCGTATAACCTGCATACTTGTTAACTGTATATCTGCACCTTTAGATAAGATACATACATACATATATACATACATAGATTTAGATATATGTGCACACACACATTTATATCCAGCAGGGGTTCACACTCTCTTATGAACTATGAAAGTTGGTTTCTAGTTGCACTATTTAACTTAGTTTCTCTTGAGTTTTAGTTTCTTTATAAAATGCAGCTAACACCTGTCAGAGAGCAATTATGAGACTAAAACAAAATAGCATATCCAAGGAACTCTTAGCACTGAACCTGATGCATAGTAGAGGACATTCAGTAAGTGTTGGCTTACTTTTTTTTTTTAATCTGAAAGTGTTCTAAAACCTGTTATCCTTGGCAAATAATATCTGGTCTTAATACTATTTGGACTATATTCTAACTTCTTTTTTAAATGTATGTTTAACAATTCAACCATTAAGTTAATCATATTTTTTTTCCTGTTAGTATCTATGAATAGGAATAATCCTAAATAATTCAATCTGTTGATTACTCGTAATTAAAGTAAAATGCCAAATAAACTCCCCAACTTTTAGTGGATGATTTTAAGAAACTGTCTCCTTTTAACAATATATAGATTCATAAAATACTTAAGTTATCAGTAGTCTCCAGGTCTGGTCCCTTTGCGTTACAGAGAAAGACACTGAAGTCTATGAGTTCATTCTTTTACTTGATGTCTTTTGACTTTAGGTCATCCTGGCAGATACAGATTGGCTTAATTGTTGCCCATGTCACATTCTATACTAAGTTTATTTTATAGGCAAGGTAGTAAGTTTATAATACTTGAACTGTTCTCTAGTTCAGAATTCTGAGGTACAGATGCTTAAAAATATTCATAATTTATGGAAAATAATGACTATAAGGAACCCATTTTGTTCATGTATATACTGAAATGGTTGTCCTGCCTAGAAGAAAAAAATAAATAACTCAGACCTCTAAATGTTCTCACTAGCATCACTGTTTAATTTTCCTCATTTCTACTGTATGTAAGTATATAACCCAGTCAGCTTCTGGTTACTTGACTAGTACAGGTTCTTGTACAACTGAATCACTTAATAATGATATAATACTTGATAAAACCTTGTATGAACATTTTTATTTGCTAATCTGACATTTCCTTTAATAAAGCATAAAAAAACAAAGTACCTATTACCACATTACCTCAGTATGACATGAAAATGCATAACTTAAAAATTATGAATTGTGGTTTATTTTACTCCCTTGGCCGGTTTAGGATTTTTAAATAAGAAGTACTATTTTTGTTAATGTTTCAATGTAATTAAGTATTACATTACACTAAAAATATATTTTCTTCTATTTACTCCAAGGACCTATATAAGAAATTCCTTCTTGAAATTAATACAATAAAACAATTTTTGAAGAAACTTTGTTTCTTAGAATTATATCTAGTGCCAGTTTATTAAAAAGTAGCTTTCTGTAGTATCTTGTAATATCTGTTTATCCTAGACCCCATTATACAGTAGTGTTTTAAATGGTCAAAAAATAATAGCAATTAAATTAGTAGCAAAAAATGAATTTTCTCTTTCAAAGTAGAATGGTCGCTATTTAATTTACAAGTGTGTGTTTTCTACTTAACATATTTTTTAATGGGATATAGATTTTTGAAAAGTAAAATTGATTTTATTTGCTTTAAAAACATGTATGGAAATTTCTTTTTAGGAGAACCCCCAATCAAAAGAAACTTGTTAAATGAATTTGACAGAATAATGGAAAATCAAGAAAAATCTTTAATGGCTTCAAAAACCACTCCAGATGGTAAAATTTGCTTCTCTGTCATTTTCCTCTCTGTAGGTACTATACATAATATTCTAAGTTATTTTTTCCTGTTATTTTGAGTATATACATAATTGAATAAGATTTTGTTATGTAGCTTCTTAAACATATCTTGCCCTGTTTGTTATGTGAGCTTTCTCTTCATAATACTAGTATGATATTGGGATTCTCCATAATTGGAGCACATAATATGATTATAAAATAATGACCTTTTAGATTAAAAAAAAGCTGTAAGTATTTAGTAAGGACTAAATCCAGTTTGGGGGATCCAGTTAGACTTTTTGTTTCCACCATGCCACCAAAATTATTCTTTCCCAAGCCATAGTGATCCCAGAGGGTTTTATCTTCATTTGACTCTTTCAGTCTGATTTAATACAGGTAGACACTTTTCTGAGACCAAGAGACATTCTCTTGGTCTCTTCCTACATGGTTGTTCCTTCTCATTTGCTGGTGGTGATCTTTCCTCATTCTTTCCTTTTCCTGCTGCATAGAAATGCTCCTGTCCTTTGTTCTTAGATCTCTTTTCTGTCTAACTATACTATCAAACTATATCTGCAGCCTTAATCTGTCCTAGAACTCCAGTCATATTTATTCATTTTCTGACTTAATATCTCTATTTGGATTCCTAACACATATCTCAAAGTTACAAAGGCCAGTGCTGAAATCTTGCCCTAATTCAATCCTCACCCCAAACCTGCTTTCTTCTCATTGCCATTCTGCCACCTAATCACATCAAAACCTTTATATTGTCTTTTATTCATTTCCTCACATACCATAACCAACCCACAAGTCCTATAAAGTCTACCTTCAAAATAATACAGGAATCTGATCAGTTCTTCTCACCTCCACCCCTACCAACTCATCTAAGCCACCATCATAGATTCTAACTCACACCCCTACTTTTGCCTTTGTACTTCAATCAAGCAAGGCTCAACACAGCAACCAGAATCATTTTTTCTAACACAGAGTTCACATCATGTAACTTGTCTGCTTAAAAATCTGTGTGATTTCTGTCTCATTTAAACTGAAACCCAGGGCCTCCCCGGTGACGCAGCGGTTGAGCGCTGGGCTGCAAAGCTGCGCGCAGCTTCTGTGACGCCGGTTCGATACCCGGCTGCTCCCCGGCCACCGGAGGAGGGTCCCACATGGTGCGCAGACCTCTCCTGCCACCCGCTGCTCCCCTCAGCAGTGTACTTCGGTCCTTATGCCTGCTCTGATCCCCGCTCTGGATCTGGTGAATTCTCTCACCCTCCCGCGCTTCTGACTGTACCCAGTGCATGTATAAACAAAACAAACAAACAAACAAACAAATAAATAAAAACATGCCTCTTAAAAAAAAAAAAAAAACTGAAACCCAAACTCTTACATGGAATACTTGAAAATAAAACAAATATAACTGTTGCTCATTACATATTTCATTCCTGAGTTTGGATAAGAAGAATTCAGATAGTGAGGGATATTATATTACACCATAGAAGTTTAGTTTTGAAACACATGGAGTAAATCTTACACTAAGCATTTGGAATTTCCTAACTCATTCCTTCCTGAATAATAGAGATTAGAAATGAATTGGTTAGTGTTCAGAATATGACATTTATATTCTTTTTTTTTTTCCTCCTCACTTAGTGGTTCTCAAACCTTGTATGCACAAGAATTCTGAAATTTAGTTGAAAACTGAAACCAGGATTACTACTCTTTGTGAAAAGTGTAAATAATTTCTAGGATAGTTTTTACCATACTGAATTATTACTTGATAAACTTCTTTATTTTTGTTTTTGTTTTGCTTTTTTTTAATGTGAAGCATCTTTTGTTTGTATGTGGCTTTATTTATTTTTTCATCTTTGTTCATTTTTGTACAATATTTGGTTTATCCCCTCAGGTGTAATCCCCATAAAACTCCCATCATCACATGGCCCGAGAACCGTCACCATAGTCCTTTGTGCTCTTCCCTCCCCTATCTTGATCCCGTCCTTTCCCCTCCCCCACTATATGTTTCATATTTAATTTGCCTGCTAGTTTTTTTTTTTTCTGATCCCTTGTTCAGTTTCCCTATATTCCTCCTATAAGTGAAACCATCCAATTCTTTTTCCTTCTGACTTATTTCATTGAGCATAATCCTCTCCAGCTCCATCCATGTTGCTGCAGATGGCATGAGTTTATCATTTTTTGATTGCTGAATAGTATTCCATTGTGTATATGTGCCACATCTTCTTGATCCATTCATCTGTTTTGGGCATTTAGGTTGTTTCCATATCTTAGCTATTGTAAATATTGCTGCAGTAAACATAGGAGTGTAGGTTTTCTTCAAATTAATGTTCTCTTTTCCTTTGGGTAGATTCCTAGAAGTGGAATCACTGGGTCATATGGTAACTTCATTTTTAGTAATTTAAGGAACCTCCACTCAGCTTTGCATAGTGGTTGGACCAGTTTGCCTGCCCACCAGCTGTGTAATAGGGTTCCTTTTTCTCCACATCCTTGCCAGCATTTGTTGTTGCCATTTTTTTAAATATGGCCTATTCTCACTGGTGTGAGGTGGTATTTCATTGTGGCTTTAATTTGCATGTCTCTGATTTTAAGTGATATTGATCATTTTTTCATATACCTGCTGGTCATTTGCATTTCCTTTTTGGAGAAGTGTCTTTTTAGCTCTTTTGTGCATTTTTTGACTGGATTGTTCGCTTTGTTTAGTTGAGTCATGTGAACTCTTTGTAGATCTTTGAAATTAGTCCCTGATCAGTTGTATGGAGTGTAAATATTTTCTCCCAATCAGTGGAGTGTCTCTTTGTTTTGGTTATTGTCTGTTTTGCTGTGCAGAAGCTTTTTAGTTTTAATGTAATCCCAGCTGTTTTGATAAACTGTTTTTAAGCCTATATAATATGTGATTCCTCTTTAAGTTTTGAAAAGAATGGTATTAGATAGTATTATGAATATAGACAAATCTTACCCTTTAGAAATATTTGATTTTGAATTTCTAGAGGAAAGTAGAACATGTATTTGATTCTAACAGTGCTGCTGTTGCCTGAAATATTATCTTAAATTACTTTTTGGCATCTTGAGTCGGTCCATATTCAGTATTTGATGTCATATCTTTTTAAAAAATTTTGTTCAGCATGACCATCATCCCCCATTTGCTAGCGAATGATTATGATTATTATTTTTCACTATGAACATCTTCACACACAAAATAGTTGAAAGAATAATGTAATAGCCATCACCTAGATTCAGTAGGTATTATTTTATAATACTGTTTAGTCTAATGATTTATAATATGTGGATATATGTATAGTAATATGTCTGTGGTAATGTGTATATACTTATATAAATTTGTATTTTGCTAGAACATTTGAATATTAGTTTCAGGCATAACAACATTTCATAATGGTATATCCACAGTCATTATCACTAAAGAAAATTGCTTCAAATCTATTCTAGGGTAGTCTTCTATTTTATAACATTAGCACTTTAAAATGACCAAGCCAATTGTCCTGTAGACTATCTTGTTCTGGATTTGTTTGTTTCCTTTTTGTATCATTTAACTTGTTGCTGTATACTCTGTTTGAATCAGAGTTAATTGGGATTAGGTTATGCATTTTTGGCAAGAATGCCTCATAGAAGAAGCATTGAAGGCATTGAAGAGGTATTGAATCATATCAGGAAAATATAATGTGAAATGGTATGGTCACTTGGTCAATATGATAACTACCAGATCACTTCATTGAAAAGATGTATTTTCCTATTTATAATTAACTTCTAATCTATGGTACTGTGAGAATAGCCAGTTTACCAAACAATTTTTATTTTTAACATCCATGGATAATTACCTGAACTAATTATTTAATTGGAGGTTGAAAGTAGTGATTTTCAATTTCTGTTATTCCTTAAAAATTTATTAGGTGGGATTCCAGCAAGGAAGAGCGTTAACTACACAATTAGGGATGAACTATATATACTTCCGAAAATGGCAGGGTTAGTGCTCCCTAATTTCATCAGTTTTTCAGTAAGAAATAGTGTAATAATTATAGTGTTAACAAATGAATTTTCTTTTGTTTCTGTTGAATAAAAATTCATAGATTTTTATTTGTAATTGGTATGTAAAATTTTAAAATAAAATTCATTATAAATAATGCATTTCTTTACAAAAAAAGCTATTATTGATGTTCAAATCATCTCAAATTTGAAAGTGAAAACTTTCAAACTATTCCAAAGGGTTTTGTTTTCACATGTCTTTAAGAGCTTTCTTTTTATTATCTCAAAAGAATTTCCTAGAATCTCCCTGCAAATTTCTTTGCCTCCATCATAGAATCAACCCAATTTCCTAAGACACTTTCAGTGGCTACTAGTTATTAAAAATAAGATTTGGGTGCTAGGTATGGTCATTGCTAATAGTGTTAAAATTAATGAGGAAACTCTTGTTTCCTAATAACAGTAACATAATTATGTTTACTTGTTCCTGCAGCAGTGGTTCTCACACTTTTTGGTCTCAAGACTTCAGTACCCCTATGTTTATTGCAGCACTATTTACAATAGGTAAAAACTGGAAACAACTCAAATGCCCAAAAATAGATGACTGGATCAAGAAGATGTGGTATATATACACACAGTGGAATATTATTCAGCAATCAAAAAAGATAAACTCATGCCATTTGCAGCAACGGGGATGGAACTAGAAGGAATTATGCTCAGTGGAATAAGCCAGAAGGAAAAAGAAAAATAACAGATGGTTTCACTTACAGCAGGAATATAGGGGAACCAAATAAGACATCAATGTAAAAAAATAATAACAGTACAAAACACAACAAAGCAAAACCGAACAATTATAAATCAGAGACATACTGCAGGGCAGGAGGCGGGAGAGGGATCAGAGGGAGGGAGGGAGGAGCACAGGGGATTGAGATGATGGTGCACAGGTGCATTGGTGAAGGAAACTATGGGGACTACACCTGAGGGGGCAGGGGATGCAAATATTGTTCAAAAATGAACAATGATGTAAAAAATAAAAAAATTAATTAGAAAAAAAAATCACTTCATACTCTAAAATTCTGAGAATTCCAAAGAATATTTGTTTCTATGGATTATGTCTATTCATATTTACCATATTAAACATTAAAACTGAGGAACTTTGATATTTGTAATATTGTATATTGATCATTTCAAAATACTAGTTCATAGAGTTATACAAGTCTTCTGAATATTACACATCTTTATTATGCAATATTGATCATTTTTGTTAATGTCACCACTGATCTGATGTGAAGTTTAAGTATTGGAAAATTGTTGTGGATACTAGGCCAAAAAAAACTTCAAAGTAAAATACCAATTTTCATTTAATAGCTTGAATTTTACCACTGGCAACAAATATTATTGTTTTCTTTGTAGTGACAAGCTCATTTCATTCATTTTTGAGAAAATGTTTGCTGAATATCTAAGTATGAACAACTGTAGTTTGTCAGTAATTCTTTCAAGTGAAAATGGAATTCTATTTAAAAATGACTTGTGTAGTTCAGGTACACTTGCTTGAGATAATCATTGCAAGTATGCAACCAGATATAACACGGTGGAAATGTCAGCCATAAAAAAGACATGTATCATAATTATTATGATAGCTTTGCCAGCTTTCATATCAGATGGGTCATGTGTCCCCACCCTGTTCTGAAGGGCTCCAGGGATCACCTTTTAAGATTTATTTTCTTACAGTAGATACATAATGTTTTCAAATTTACAATACCAGTGTTGCAACTAACAATTAAACTGCTAAGGGAAGCTTCAGAATTCTTTACAGTTTATGTCCTAAGACTGTGTATCATTAAGAATGTGTGTATGTATAGTCAAAGAATGTATAGTCAAAGAACTTTCTTCAAATGTCCCTCAAAATATTTTTTGTATGTGATTACCAATTTGATAATTAGGTTAGATTTGTTTTGATTTGGTTGGAATTTCAGTATTTGCTTCTTTTTTAATTTTGTATTGGATAAATAAAACATTTCATTCCTCAAAGTATAAAAAGATATATTTAGAGAAGTATTCCTACCTATATTCCCTCCATACAATTCATCACTTTTCCTACTTCTTGCTCATTATAGGTAACTATTTTTAATGGCTTTTTATATATTCTTTTAGGATTACCTATAAAAATAGGTAATGTATGTACTCATTACCTTTATCACTCAAATACATGTATTGTTTTGTACTTTCTTTTTTGTTTACTTAAGAATTTACCTATGGGCCTCCCCGGTGGCGCAGCGGTTGAGCGCTGGGCTATGAAGCTGCCCACAGCCTCTGCAGCGCAGGTTCGATCCCTGGCCGGCTTGGCAAGGGGCCCATATGGCGCGCAGACCTCTCCTGCTGTGCCCGCTGCTCCTCTCAGCAGTGTGTTTTGTCAGTCTGCCAGTTCTGTTCCCCGCTGTGGCTCTGGTGAATTCTCTCACCCTCCCGCACTTCTAACTATACCCAGTGCTTGCTTGCATAAATAAATAAATAAATAAATAAATCTTAAAAGAAAAAGAATTTACCTAGAGATCACTCTTTACTGAGAATATAGAGACCTTTCTTATGGTTGCATTACACTTGAACATATGGCTACATCAGTAGATTCTAGTTTATTCAACTAGTCCCCTATTAGTGGATTAATTGAAGATTTGTAAAGTACAACTTATATACTTAGGATGAATAATATCTAAAGTTCAGTTTGTAGACATTCATAAAACTGAATTTTAAATTTGATATTTGTATTGACAGCTAATACCTTTGGGTAATGATTAACATCAGTTAACTAAATTTATGCTGATTCTTTTCTATGTTTACATTGTGAGTTATTTGGTATATAGTTATCAGTTTGTAAATGTATTTCTTTTGATTGTTATTTACTGAGTGTTATGTGTGCTGAAAAGTTTAGTTTTTATCAAATTTTTTGTGCTGATGTTTACAATAATGTGTAATGGACTTAGGAAATAAAATTACCAGGTTTTCATTAGTACATAATGTAATAAATAATGTAAAAATAATATTTTCTAGGGACAATAAAAGATAGAAGACTATTTATGCATCACATTTCTTTAGAGCCAATTACCTGTGGACCCTATTGGTAAGAAATGTTAAAATTTTTTAAAATCCTACTTATATATTATAGGAAAAGTGTGGGCTTTTAAAATAAATAATTTATTAAGTAAATAATAAGCTAAATATAATGGCACTAATATGCAATAAAGAAGTTAATACTTCCCTTTTTGAAAACTTGTCTCAGGGTAAATATAATTCTGTACTTCGGTAGTACTCTAGTGCTGTTCACATCATCACCTAATTTTTTAGTTTCATAAAAATATTCTCGAGTAGACAGATTTTATTCCTATTTAGAGGTACTGAGATTGAGAGGGATGAAGGAAATTAATCAGTTAACAAAAATGATGGCAAATATGGAAAATTCCTTTCTATCTCTCCTTCCTTGCAAAACCATACTAAAATTAATAAGAGAATTCTTTTTTATATATAAATCTGTAAGAACAGTGATCAGAAGAAACAAACTAGTTTCTAGTTTGAAAGTAGTTCTTAGAAAGTAGAATGACAGAACTAAATTAACTCAGTAAAAGAAATAGAAGGCAAAAGTTAAAATGCCCCCCAGAATTAGAGGGAAAATGAGAGGGGGAAAGAAATGAAAAGATAATCAGAAAAGTAAGTCCTATGGGTGTAATACCTAAAAATTTGGAGTTTGAGAAAGAATGGGAGAAATGACAAATTTACAAAGAAATTTAAGAAAATTTACCTGTGTCAAAGGCTATGAGTTTCCTCTATTGGAAAAGCACCCTGAGCGAGCACATGAATAAAAATGACACACATTAAGGCATATTCACGTAAGATTTTAGAGCACTAGGAGCAAAAAGGAACCTTTAAATTTCCAGAGAGTAAAGACAAAGTTTCAGTTTCAAAAGGTGCAATATGTGAATTCTCTCACTGACAACAGTGGAAACTGGAAGATTATAGATTGTGTTATGTATAGCACAGAGCAATGCCTTTAAAATTCGAGATAAAATGGTTTGCACCTAGACCAAAAATCATTTGAGGGTAGACATTTTTCTGATGTCAAGTATCAAAAGATTTATCTCCCATGCACTTTTCTAAGGAAACTAAACAAGCAAATACATAAATCAGGGAGGAAGATATGGGAATTGAGAAAATAGGAATTTAACATAGGAGAGAAGCAAAGGGAGTCCTTAGGATGGTACTGAGATGCAATCCCAAAACTAGAGTGGTCTTACTAAGCCTCGTAGTGGCTACACCATTTGGAACAGAAGAATAGAGCCCTGGAAGAGTTTACTTCAAGATAAAAATGAAGCAGCGCCTGAAGTGTTTTTATTTATTAGGAAACTTATTAATGAAAATGATGAATTCTCATGCTCACTTTACTTTCATTGCCTCCTAAAACTTCACTGAAGAACATTGACACCCATGCATGTGCACAATGGTGTGTGTACACACACATACGCAAAGAGAGTAAAAATGAAAGAGAAGACCACAGTAACTAAATTCTTCAGCATGCAGGAAAAAACTGATTAGTGAAGGAAACTTCACAGACTGAAGAATTGGTGAATCTTCAGAAAAATTGTGAAGAAGGAAGGAACCAAAATGAAGGAATGGGTTGAAAATGCACAAGTATCTTTTGTTCACTCTAACAAAAACTAGAGATCAATCTCCAGAGAATGCTATAGAGAGTTTATTTACTTTTGAGCACCTAAGCATAACTGTAAGCAGAGTATTGTACTGAAAAGGAAGGGATTAAGTTAATGTATGCATATTTAATACTGGGGACACCCCACAAGTCTTCTTACCCCATTTAGCTTCCAGATTTGGAAACTTTCAGTTAATCAGTAGCATAGCTTACATTAGCAAAGTCCCATCTATATGCCAGGAGCTTCCAAACAACTTTTTGATTCTTTACTCTTAAATGTGGACATACAAAGATTAACAAACATCACATCACTTCACAGTAAGCCAGATTAAACTAACCGAAAATCAAACTAATGAAGATAACTTAGAAACACTATTCAAGATGGAGGGAAAAATTTCATTAATGAGCAGAATTCAAGTAGGTTTTTATATATTCTGAGTTTGGTTGTGAATAAATGATAGGTACATAGAAAATTAAGTAAAGATTTTGAAAGATAATGCTTGCTTCAAAGGAAAGCAAAACTTGTGAAAAAATACAATCATAATATACATGTAAATATTAATATATTTTATACTGATATAACACATTGAGCTGTAAAATAGTCAAATGTCAATATTGACAGAATCAAATACATAATTTGAGAAGACAGGGAGAGGAAAGAGCGTTTAGTAAATGGTGGGTGGTATTGACAAAGCTAAAAGTTCATTTTCCATAATGACTTTTCAACAGAAATAGTCAAGAAGAGGTATTACAGAGATACAGAGATGTCACCCAGAGATAATGAATGTAAATATCATAGAATCATCTAGAATTATAGAAACCAGTTGTGAAAACTGTCTATCGGTAATTTTTAAGCCCAAAGATATGGTTTCAGTTGTTTTCATGTTACTTTTTCAAATACAATTATTTGTGGCATTGTTAAAATAAAAAAAAGTCTTTGAATTATTTTTCTGGAATATATTTTTCAGTAAGCTACAAGTATACCTGCTATGAATGTAGAAAAAGCCCAGTGATTATTTTTTCATTTCTTTTTATCAAAAACATAGTAATATTAAAAATAAAGCAAATGTTTAGTTATTTTCTTTCTGCATTTTTTTAATTTATACATATTATAGGAAAATAGTTTTGTGCGTTGATAAAAGTGAATTAAGCACCTGTTTTAAGTGCCTAATTTTTCCCATGTTAATGGATATAAAGATTTATAAATCTAACTCAAATTAGTAGTTTGGGAGCCAGACATGAAAAGAACTACTATGATATAAATATAGTAAGCCCTCATTTAACACCATAGATAGGTTTTTGGAAATTGCAACTTTATGTGAAACAGAGTATAATAGAAGCAGGTCCTGAATAGCTTGGCCTGGATTGGTTTTTTCTCATCAGAGTTTATAATGTTATTCAAAAACCTGCTGTGCTAAAATAGATTTAACAGTGATTTGAAAGCATAGAAAATTGCTAGCTAATTATGTGACAAAAGTTAAACTGGAAAAGTATTTCAGACAGATACAAAGAATGCTTAGTGAAGGGGGGCACTCCAAATTCTGGGAGCATTGAAAAATGGTGTGACGTTCATCATGGGATTTCACAAGCAGGTGTGTGGGGTGAAGACTGTTAGGAAACAGACAGAAATCGGGAAGTCTTATCATTTCTCACAAGTTGGAACTGACAAGTCGGGTAGGTGATGGTTTGTCTTTGGAAGTTTCTAAGAAAAGAGCAACATAGCCAGATTTATAACTTAGAAATAGACCAAAGTAAAACTGGTACAAGATTTTCAGGAAGTAAAGATCTCCATTTAATTCAGGTGGTAGAGAATAAGTGCACTATAGATAGATTCAGTTAGATTTGGTCAATAGTGATTTACCAAGTGGCAAAATATCTCCACTTGGACATCATAATCAAAACCTGTAGAGCATGCTTCTTGTTTTCATAGTACTCTTACTATGTGAAAACAAGGGAGTAAAAGAGATCTATGAAAGTAAGGTTGAGAACTTCTTGGTTTATTCATTCTTGTGCATTAGATCTCATATCTATTCAAGGATATCAGTTCAGCAATTGTCCCCTCTTCTGCATCTCTGATTTGTTCCTCTCTCCTTGATTAGTCCCATCAGTATAATAGTTGCTATATGTTTCCCACTATAAAAAGAAAAGCCTTTCTTGATGCTTTTAATCCTGCCACTCCATTTCCTTGATCCTCTTAAAGCATAGCCCATTAGAATTGTCTATACTCATTTGCTCTACTTCATCTCTTTCCTTTCTCTCCCACTCCTGTCTTTTATCACTACCCTCCATACCTTACCAGATTACTAATTATCTCCATCCTCCTGTTATGTTCTCACTAGCATTGACACAGTTAATCACTCCTTTTTTTAATTTTTCTAGCTTCTGGATCTCTCTTCTATCCCTGTGACTGTTCTTTCTCAGTCTTTGCTACTAGTTTTTCTCCTAACCCGTAACTGTTATTAGTTTCCCCATGATTCAACTCCAGATCACTTCTCTTTCAGCAATTCTCTCTGGAAATCTCATCCATCTCATGACTTTATATACCATCTACTTGTTGATTGTTCCAAAATTAATGTATTCCATACATCTTCTTTGAACAGCATGTTTGTCGAGCTACCTACTTGGCATTTTTATTTTGGTCAGTAATAGACATCTTAAACTTATCATGTCCAAAGCTGATGTCCCTTAGCTTAATCTGTTTTCATATAAAAGTAAAAGACTAACAACTTTGCTTTCAAATTGTATATAAAATCCATTTACTTCTCACCACTAATGGTTGAAGGCATCATAAAACTGGATTCTTCTGGTTGAAACTAGTATCACTGCTTCTGACTTTGCTCTCGTCTCCCACCCCATGCACAGTGAATTGTCAATGAAAAATCCAGATTATATAATTTCTTTACTCAAAACTACTTCATGACTTCCCTCTTAGAGTTTAAGCCCAAGTTCTTACCATGATGCACAGTACTTCAAGATTTGGCCTTTTTGCTACCTTTCCAGTCTCATATACTAATTTACCCCTTGTTCAGTCTGCTCCAGGTAAACTGTCTGAGCTTTGCAATGTGATGTTTGGCTGCAGCAGTCTTCTCTTAAAATCTTCCATATCTTTCTCCTTTGCTTCCTTCAGTCTCTGTACAGATGCCACTTTATCAGTAATGTCTTCCTCACCACCCTATATAAAATATCCTTCATTTAGCTCTGTTGGACACTTCCTGCCCCTTTTATTGTGCCTTAATTTTCTACCCCTATGTAATATCAGTGAACATACTTGTTTTCTTCCACTAGAACACAAGCTCTGATTTTGTTTTTTTCTATCCCCCAACCAAGATGGTGCATGCCACATAGTAGGAACTCATTAGAATTTTTATGGGTAAATGAATGGATAACTAAATGAAGTTACCTAGAACTCAAGTTCCAGTGGTTCGGGTCTGGCTAAAGGAAATACAGGATTTTCAGATACTAGAAAGAAAATGTATTCTAGGGAAGGTGATAAATTTTGTTTTGGATGTGTGGTGTCTGAATGTGGAACATCAGGGTAAGGATTTCTGGTGCTATGGGTAGCTCAAAGTGGAGGAATAACTTGTAGGGGAAAATTCAACAATGAAGATGTAGTTTGATATTTTTATTATGTAGATGATAATTTAAGCAATAGAAATGATTCATATCACCTAGGGAAGAAGTTAAAATTTAGGGACAGGAATATTTTTAACAGTCAGAAAGAGAAAAGAAGGAAGAAAAAGAAATCAAGAGACAAACGTGTTGATATTAATGGTAAGAATTTTAAGAAGGAAAATAACTGACAGTTGTGGAGAGGTCGAGTAGAATGAGTTTACTCAAGAAGCAATTTCATTTTGGCATCTTGGAGCTTGTTAGGTATTGAGAACAATTTCTAGAGTAGTGAGAGAAATAAGTGTTCAATGAGTGGAAATTGAAGTGAAAATGGCTAGTTAAGATTACCTATTTCAGAAGGTTGTTATGAAGGGGAAGATAACAATGAGTTTAAGCTTAAAGTGGAATTAAGGCTGAGTAAAGGGTCTTTTAAGGATGGGTGAGGATTTCTGGCTAAATGAAAGAAGTAATAAAAAATACAAGCAGGTGGCAGAAAGTGAAAAGAAAGAGGTAGAATCATAGTTGAAAGAATGGAGTGAGATTCCTAAGGATACTGAGTTACTAGATGGTGTCAAGACTGCAGGTGAAGTTATTGGCCTTGAGAAGAGGACAAATATACTTCTTTGGTAAAGCAGATAAATAAGGAGTTCTGTGATAGAACTGGAGAGGGAAAAATAGAAGATCCATGTTTGATTTGCTATTTTATTATATGAAGTTGGAGGTAAAGTCAAAGACTGGGAGAGTGTGTGTGTGTGTGTGTGTGTGCATACATATATATCTGAGCTAGTTATATATACAATATAGATTTGGAAAGGGTGGTATTTTGAAACGTCAGCTATGATGAATGCAAAATAGTCTCAGGATAGGATTGCCAAGTAAGCTATTGAAGACCTATTTACTAGTGAATAATCAAACTTTTATAAATGTTTTCTACCCAACTGTAGCACAGCTAAGAAACGGCCAGAAATACAGCGTCCAAATTTTGCCGCACCTTGTCAGGAATTTCTTTCTAAATCTCATTTTTATACACATCTGACTTTGGAAAAATCTTCAAGCAATTTACCAATTTCAGAACAGCCTTATGAAGTTTCTGTCACAAGAAATGAAAAAAGGAAACACTCAATTACTACAGGCAAACTCATGAAAGTATTTGTTCCACCTTTTAAAACTAAATCACAGTTTCACAGAACTGAACAGTTTGTTAGCAGGATTACTAAATTGGAGGAAAATAAATACAAACCAAAAAACACAGATGAACGTTGCTCTGGTGATAGTGAAAATATTATTGACAGTGAAATTCATCAATGGAACAAAAATAACACTAGTCAAGCAGCAACTACAGTTTTCACTGAGAGTGAAGAGACTTTAGGTATAGTATGAAAATTTGTGTGACACATTTTTGCCTTTCATTTGTCTGTTTCTCACATTAAATAATGCCTTGAGGATTTTTAATGCTTTAATTTTTTTTTTTTAAGATTTATTTATTTATTTATAAAAGCACTGGGTACAGTCAGAAGCATGGGAGGGTAAGAGAATTCGCCAGAGCAGGGAGCAGAACAGGCAGACTGACGAAAATACACTGCTGAGGGGAACAGTGGACATGGCAGGAGAGGTCTGCGCGCCATGTGGGACCCTTGCCAGCAGCCGGGGATCGAACCAGAGCTGCGCCACCAGGGGAGGCCCTGCTTTAAATGTTTAAATGTTTTTAATGCTTTAAATTTTTCTAAGTCCAAAGATTAGGTTTGAATTCTTCTGTTTTCTTTCAAAGATAACGACTAAGGACTTTATTTTTAAAAAGCTATTAGACACACAATCTAGGATTGCCATTGCAACATATTTTATCAGACTATTTTCAAATTTGAAATAAAAAACTATTTCTATTCTTTGTAAGTTGAAATCTTTTTCCTTCTTGAAGATTTGAAACTAGAGCAAATTGATACATATAATTTTGTAAAACAAAGATGTAGTTTTTAAATTTTATATTCAATTTTTTTTTTTTGCTAATTATTCTTTAATAGATTTAACTTCAACTCTTCAGAATGCCAGAGATATACAGGACTTACGAATTAAAAAGAAACAAAGACAATGTATTTTTCCACAACCAGGCAGTCTGTATCTTGCAAAAACATCCTCTATGACTAGAATCTCTCTGAAAGTAGCAGTAGGAGGCCAACTTCCCTCTGCATTTTCTCATAAACAGGTATGCTTTTGTATATAATACCAAGCACTTTAGTAGCAAATGTAATTTTATTTTATTAACTAACATTTCCAAGATCTGTTAAAAAGACATCCATGGAGGGATGGGTGAATGAAAGCATGCTTCCTAGTCAGGCTACAACCTCCTCTGCTGCCTAGTCATACCAGGGTGATCTGAACTTCAAAATACTATTTCTGTTTCCCCTTCAAAGCTTGCTTAATAACTGCTTACTGTCAGGAAAGTTTTATTGAACTTGGGTGAATAGATCATAGCCCTGAACCTGCTAATAGCCATATACATTTTTAAAAGAGGATTTTTATTAAGGCAGTCCTATTTTGTTCGAATTTTAGGTAGTAGAGAGGTGAAAATAATGATAATAGTTAGCATTTATTATTTTGTATGTACTAAGCACTCCTGGACACTGTACATATGTTGCTTATAGGTAAATCTTTCTAAGCATTCTCAAAGTCACTATTATTTTGTCCATCATTTTATAGATAAATGCTCTGAAGTATAGATTTAATAACTGTCCCAATGTCATTTTACTAGTAAGTGGAAGAGCCACAATTCCAAAACTATGAGTCAGACTCCATAGTCAAGTTTGATAAAAGAAAAAGATATTTTGGAGTTACTCATGTGCTTTGAAAGTAGGCCAGGCCTGTATAGAAATCTGATCTCCAAATACTTAAACTTTTCACTGTTCTTTCCTTTCTAATTTATTTTGACTTAAAAAGTTTCTCAAAGCATTCATTTTTTATCCCTACAATAACCTCCTATAGCAGATAGAACAGGAAATACATACACAACGGTTATGAAAAAGGTGTAGCAGACTCTTGAATATGTGGATCACTCATGTTAAGATTTTTAGCTTCCAGTAAATAAGTTAAATATTTTCATATATATAGTTTCATTAAACTTATGTGAACAAATCATAGCTCTGAACCTACTAATAGCTATATAACATTTTTTATAGTATTCAGTTTTAGCTTATTTTCATTCTCTGAACTATGTTTTTTGTATGATTTTGTTTTCCATTCATCAATTTTTCTTTTTTTTTTCCTGCAGCTATATATGTTTGGTATTTCTAAACATTGTGTAAGAATTAACAGCAAAAATGCAGAGTCTTTTCAGTTTCACACGCAGGATTATTTTGGTAAGGAAAGTTTATGGACTGAAAAGGGCATACAGTTGGCTGATGGTGGATTCCTCATACCCTCCAATGATGGAAAGGCTGGCAAAGAAGAATTTTATAGGTATTCTTGCATTAAATTATATATTCTACCATCCATCTTTATCTCACAAGTCCCACATTTTTGTTTTCTTATCTCTCTCTTGAACTTAAAAAGTTGCCCAGAAATCAATTTTTATGCATTGAATTCATTTCAGTGCATTATTCAATTGACATTCTGTTGAAATATTTTAAAGAGTGAGTTATAGTTTGTTTGGGGATTAATCTAATTAATGAATTGCTTTTTCTTAAACTGGCCATTTTGAATGCATTTACAAAATAAGACATCAGAAAAATAAAGTTTGAATTGGCCTTATCATAAACAAATACACAAATACATTTATATCATATTCTTTCATAGGGTATTTCAATAAACATGTAAATGTTAAAAGTTAATCAGAAATGCTCAAACAGTAAACTAGTAAACTCTAGTGCCATAAAACATTAATAAGTGAGAAACTATAGAACCTCTTATGATTCTAATAAGAAACATAATTTAAAATTTTTGCTATCAGAAAGGTATTACTTTATGCCAATGGCAAGAGATGGGAAACTTTACTCTGGTGCCCCACCCCCCCTTTTTTTTTAACATTTTAGAAGAACAGGTTTATTAGGAAATGAAGAAAGAAAAAGAGAGGCACCTGCATAGTCACAGGTGGGCAGGAAAGCTGTTGGTGCCCTTACTTTTTGGTTTCTCTGATTTTTTGAACTTTTTGTTTTCTCTTTCACTTAATCTGTGCTTTAATTTTTATTATTTCTTTCCACATATCTGTTTTTGGATGCTTTTGTTCTTTTTTAGTTCCTTTAGCTTCAGTGTTAGATTAACTTGAGGTTTTCTTGGTTTTTTTATGTGGGCCTATATTGCTATTTTGCTCTAGAGTTCCCACTGCCCTGGGTTAGGTCGGCATCCACTTGCATGTGAGCAAAGTTTCTCCAGAGAATTTCAAAATGTTCCAGGTTTCCCCAGCCATGGCTTTGGGTAATTAACTCCCAGCCCAGTCACTCTCCTCTTCGCTTCCTCCTATTCCTTCCCCTCAGTCACCACTAACCTTGGTTCAAGATCTCTGTGGGGAAGTCTTAGGACTCTACAGACAGAAAAGAGAATCTGGATATTCCTATGAGCAAATATTACTTTTTTAGTAGTTGTTTTTGAGGGAGAGGATGACCCCAACCTCTCTATTCCATCATGTTGAGGGTAGAGTCTCTAACCACTTTTATTCTGTTTAAGCCACTAGAATGTATAAAGCAGAGAGGTGACGTGATCTGAGATGTTTTGTTTTTTAAAATTTTTTAATTGAGGTAACATTAAAATCCCCCCTGTCAAGGATGGCCTTGTAGTGCACCTACTGCCCAATAACTCTTAGTCCACCACCAGAAACTGTTATGCTTCCTTCCCTCTTTGTTCTTATCTGAGATATTTTTGAAAGAATGACTGGCTGCTGTTGTGATCCGATTATAGAAAGGGGCAAGGATGGAAGCAGAGATACCATCTTAAAAAACAATTGTAGTAATACACATGAGAAATGATAGCTTGGACCAAAGAGATGGCAGCAGAGTTGGTAAAAGGCAGTTGAATTCTGGATATATTTTGAAGGTGACACCTTTGGGATTTGCTCAAGGATAATATAAAGAATATGAGAGAAGAAGGAGGTTAAGAATGATGCCAACAATTTTGCCATTAGATTTAAGATATAAGCCAACAAAATCAATGTAAGAGTTATCACAGAGATGGAATATAATGCCATGAAAGATACTGAGAAAGAGCAACACAAATACTAGAAATAAACGTCAGTGTGGTGTGTTGTAAACCAAGTAAAGATAGAATTGCAGGCACTAATGAAGGACTAACTATATCAGTTACTGTTGATTGGTAAAGTAAGATGAGAACTGAGAATTGACGCTGGGTTTAGCAATGGAGAGGTCATTACTAACCCTAATAAAAATTGTTCAGTAGATTGGTGGGGTGAAAGCTTGATCAGAATGCAATAAAGGGGCAGTGGAAGAAGAAGTGTTAGACAGGGAGAATACAGTTCATTCTATTAAGAATTGGTAAAAAGAGAAGCAAAGAGGACAGTATCTGCAGAGGGAAGTAGGATCAAAGGATGTTAGTTTTGTTTAGTTTGTTTTTAAAGTAGAAAAAAGTATTAATTATGCTGATGGAAATCATCCAGATGAAAGGGGTGATCAGGAGAGAGAGACCTTTTGCTCAGTCACTGTCCTTGTCCAGACAAGAGGGGAGCTGGTGTGCAAATGTAAGGAAAATATGAAGTATAAAAGCAGAGGCATTGGGCCTCCCCAGTGGTGCAGCAGTTGAGCGCTGGGTTGCGAAGCTGCCCGCAGCCTCCGCGGCGCCGGTTCGATCCCCGGCTGCTCCCCGGCCACCGGAGGAGGGTCCCTCATGGTGCACAGACCTCTCCTGCCGCCCGCTGCTCCCCTCAGCCGTGTACTTTGGTCCTTCTGCCTGCTCTGCTCCCCACTCTGGCTCTGGTGAATTCTCTCACCCTCCCGTGCTTCTGACTGTACCCAGTGTTTGTATGAATAAATAAATAAATCTTTAAAAAAATAATAAAAAAAAGCATAGGCACTGTTGGATTGGTAGATGTGAGGGTGGAAGCCTCTGGAAGTTCTCTTTTAATTATTTGTTTTCTTAGTGTGAAAATGGGAAAGGAAAGAGAAATTAGAGATTTGAGCAGAGAGGCACCAGGACTAGAAAAGGGATTTCTTAGGTGACCTTAAAACAACCTCTTTTTTTTTTTCCCCAACTCTTTTTTTTTTTTAAAAGATTGATTGATTGATTGAGTGATTGAGTGATTTATACAAGCACTGGGTACAGTCAGAAGCACGGGAGGGTGAGAGAATTCACTAGAGCCAGAGTGGGGAACAGAACAGGCAGAGTGACGAAATACACTGCTGAGGGAAGCAGTGGGCACGGCAGGAGAGGTCTGTCGCGCCATGTGGGACTCTCGCGGGTGGCCAGGGACTGAGCTGGCACTGCAGCAGCCTCGCAGCCCAGCGCTCAACCACTGCGCCACCAGGGGAGGCCCTAAAAACAACCTCTTTCATAAGAAATGTAACCTAACTAAAATAATTTTAAATTAAGGATCTCACTTTTCTTTTGAAATAATTGTATTGACTAATATGTGCAGTGAGGAAGCTTTTATCAGCCTATTTTGATACATGTCATACAATTTTCTGAAACTAACTACATTCCTTCTTGATTTTACATTAACACATAAACTTATTAAACAATCTTGTACAATGTAATTTTTAGTGCACAAAATAGTAGTGGCTATTGAACTTGTATCATTGTATGTGTTTTTATTACATTATTCTACCTTCATTTTTTCAGTGCTCTGTGTGACACCCCAGGTGTGGATCCAAAGCTTATTTCACGAGTTTGGGTCTATAATCACTATAGATGGATTATATGGAAACTGGCAGCTATGGAATTTGCCTTTCCTAAGCAATTTGCTAATAGATGCCTAAACCCTGAGAGAGTGCTGCTTCAACTAAAATACAGGCAAGTTTAAAGCATTAAGGTATATAATCACATGCTGATTTGATGCAGACTTCTGTATAGCCTGTGATTTTAGTGTCATAGAACCAGTTGTTGGTGACAGTTACCATGAGCCAGTTGTTGGTGATAGTCGCCATCCCTCCCTTCTATTCATGTTGTACAGAGTAGTTCTCTTGTCATCCCAAGACCCCACTTAAGTGAAGTCACACATTTGTATACCTCTTGCTTCCCTCCACCTCCCCCCATTAACATCTTGGCATATGAGAAGAATAAGAATTACTAATTTAATTCACTCTTCAGAAATTGCAAATTTTTTTGCATTTTTGGTTTTAATATTTAATTTTTTAAATATATTACTAGTTACCAAATTTTAAATTCTCTGTCACTGTTTCTTCAGTAAAAATGATTAATTTTCATTCTCAATTATATTGATGACTTTTTTTTAATGTAATTCTGGACTTGTAATTCCTAAAGTACACATTTTTCTTTTTTAGATATGATACGGAAATTGATAGAAGCAGAAGATCAGCTATAAAAAAGATAATGGAAAGGGATGACACCGCTGCAAAAACACTTGTTCTCTGTATTTCTGAAATAATTTCATCAAGCACAAATATATCTGTACCTTCTTGCAGTAAAACTAGTATTGTGGATACCAAAAAAGGGAACATTATTGAACTTACAGATGGATGGTATGCTATCAAGGCCCAGTTAGACCCTCCCCTCTTAGCTCTCTTAAACAATGGTAGACTGACTGTGGGTCAGAAGATCATTATCCATGGAGCAGAACTGGTGGGCTCTCCTGATGCCTGTTCACCTCTTGAAGCCCCAGAAACTGTTATGTTAAAGGTAAATTAAATTAAAGCGTAAACTTTGTAAAAATTAAATCACTGATTCAGTTAAATTACAGAGGTTTTGCATAAAATTTTTTTCATTTACTTACACCTATATGAGGATGCTCAACTTTCTTTTGGGGGAAGGGCATAGAAGAACTGGGGTATAGGCCAGAGGTACAGGGGGTGAGAAGATTCACCAGAGACAGAGGTGGGGGCAAAACAGGTGAGTTTTACTGAAATATATTGCTAAGGGGAGCAGTAGGTAAGACAGGAGAGGTCTGCTGTGCCTGGCTGGGAATCGAACTCAGGCCATAGTGGTAATAGCACTGAGACTTAACCCTTAGGCCACCAGGAAGGCCCCAGGGTGCTGAATTTCTTAAAAATATACTGTAATCTTAGTGTAAGTGGTAGACTCCTTCCAAAAACTCCTGTGTTTTTTGGTGTGAGGGAAGAATGATCACCTGGCTACTTGGAATATGAAAGGAAATCTGAGATCTTAACTAATTTTATACAAAATTTCAAACATTCCTCCTATTTTCAGCCATATCTCATATTCCTACCTTCATAAGTTCCCTGTTTCCTCCAATTTCTGGAGAGTTTTCCTAATGTCATTTTGTTTCTTATTGGCTAAATAGAAGGTCAATAACTGAGAAACCTAGGGCAGCCTGTGTAATTCCCCTTATGCTTCAGTTTCGTTGTCTGAAAAATCGGGATAAGCTGTTAAGTTTAAATGTTAATGAATATAGGGCCTCCCCGGTGGCACAGCGGTTGAGCCCTGAGTTGAGAGGCTGCCCGCAGCCTCTGCAGCACCGGTTCGTTCCCTGGCCACGGGGCGAGGGTCCCACATGGTGCGCAGACCTCTGCTGCCGCCTGCTGCTCCCCTCAGCAGTGTACTTAGTCAGTCTGCCTCCTCTGTTTTCCGCTCTGACTCTGGTGAATTCTTTCACCGTCCCACGCTTCTGACTGTACCCAGTGCTTGTATAAATAAATAAATAAATCTTTAAAAAAAAAAAAGTTAATGAATATAAAGCACTTAACAAAGTGCCAGGCCACCATAATAAGTGTTTGGTGAATGTTTGCTGTATTTATTAACTGTAATCATTCTCAGACTGCTTTATGAGTTGCCACTTGTCCAACAGATTTTTAACTGCTTCATAAATTTCTGCATTCCAAAATTTTGGTAATATGTCATCAACTATCCTCTACAATTCTCTTTGTCCTTGTAGATTTTTTGTGGGAAGCCAGGTAAGTAAATGTGTATTAATAGCTCCTAATTAAATTGAAGTCTCTTTCAATAATTGCCTAATGTAATAGAAATAAATAAAAATTTTATAGCATCATAAACAATTTTTTAAGATACTGTATTTTTAAAGTATTTTCATTTTCATCATTTTTATCCACTTTCCTAATTAGTTGACTTTTTAAAATAAATGTTTGTAAAGCAACCCTAAAAGAATAAAAAATGTTATGAAATATGAAATAGAATTACATATATTTGTGTTATAAATCTGTTTATTCATGAATTTGTCCAGATTTCTGCTAACAGTACTCGGCCTGCTTGCTGGTATGCCAAACTTGGATTCTCTCCTGATCCAAGACCTTTTCCTCTCCCCTTGTCATCACTTTTCAGTGATGGAGGAAATGTTGGTTGTGTTGATGTAATTATTCAAAGAGCATACCCTATACAGGTATGATACATTCTTAAAATGTTCTGTGTACTTCTTTATTTTGAGACAAATAATTTTAATGAGCCCTCCCTCTCCTGAATTTTTGTTTGACATATTATTACAGTGGTTGGAGAAGACATCATGTGGATTATACATACTACGAAATGAAAGAGAAGAGGAAAAGGAGGCCACAAAATATGCAGAAGCCCAACAAATGAAACTAGAAGCCTTATTCACCAAAATTCAAGCAGAATTTGAAGAGCATGAAGGTAAAATGAGTTGTATGTTATCAGGATTTTTGTTTGTTTTCTTTTTGTGCTAACAGTTTCAGTGCTAATTTGATTTTTGTAATTGGGTGAATTTTATTTTGAATAAGTTATTTTTCTAATTCTGAAACTTTTTTTTCACTGTTTAAAATATATTATTACACATATATACAGATAAGCATTGAACTGGCCCCAGATAATCACATTTTATTCAGCACTTAGCCTTTAGATACTTATAAAATTACATTAGGCAATAAAACATTATATACTCACAACAGTTTTCAGAAATTAAGAAAACCATCAGAAGCTTCAGTGGTAAACTGTAGTATCTTTTTTGGTATTAGACATTAACAGTTAAGAGCTATCAAGTTATTTTCCACTAAGCGATTTATCATTAAGTCAATGTTCTTACCTACATTGTATAACTTTTGCATGAATCTACATTATATAACTTTTGCACATTTGTTGTTTAAAATTATTACTGACTTATTCTGTTTTTATGATTATGTGAATCATGAAAGTGTTTACTTAATTTACAAATTTCACTCTTTGTATGATTTATTAAACCATGAATGTACTTGTTTCAAATTTTCCTAAAATACTTCAACTGATAAATGACTGTTTTTCAGCCTTTATTCTTTGGGTATTTTTACTTGGCTCTCTAATTTCAGTGTTCTTAAATTTGTGACTTAGCTAATTGCTGGTACTTTTTTCCCTAGAAAATATAAGAAAACAGTGTATACCATCATGTGCACTAACGAGACAGCAAATCTGTGCTCTGCAAGATGGTGCAGAAATTTATGAAGCAGTCAAGAATGCCCCAGATCCAAGTGACCTTGAGGTGAGACAGTAAAAGTGTTACTGATTCCTCAGGGTCCTTGTCTGTCTTCAACCATTAAGCCCCCACAAATTTTGAGGTTTCAAATGAGGAACTTTAATTGTGCAATACACAGTACGCTAGAGGCAGGAAGTATCCAGGGCTGTGCTCTCCCAACCTAAGAGTAGTGTGGTTCCTGCTTTTATAGGATTGATTACCTGGAAAGGTAGCAGGGAGTTACACGATAGCAAATTTTGGGCAGGACTCTACTTAGGCATATACAAAAACACTACATGCTACCTCATACATTACTTTATGAGTCTATGCATACATTGGCATCTTGAGTCTCCATCCCAGGGGTATGCATTTTAGTAGGCTAATGAGACCTAGATAACTTCTGCCATCCGTGCCTGCCTGGCTATCAGGTGTAAGCTGGTTCTGGAGCCACTGTCTGAAGATAGGAAACCTCTGCATGGTAGAGAATATGTTTCTCACTTGTGATTAACTGAATTTCTGTTAGCCTGAGAACTCAATAGCAGGACAGTTAGTCTAGCAAGGTCTAACAAGAGGGTGTGGAAGGAGTTTTATGTTCATTCTTAAATATGAAAAGCTGTCCTATCTTCTGAATTACAGGAAGGAGTATATTAAAATGCTGTGTTTTACAATGGGGATGTGTGCATTTCTAGGGTCCTCAGTGATCTGTCAAACCAATGTGGTATGTGATTCTATACCAAGCAGAGGATGAGCAGATTAACTAATTTTATATATTAAACAAAGGTGATTTAATATGTAAACAAGACTTTTTTTTAAATGTAAAACAAGTACTTTCAAAGTAGTGTCTTAGTTTCCTTGTTCTCAGCTCTTAACAGTTTATTTCATAATCCTCTATTTTAAGGGTACTTAGGTAGAAGTTTCAGAAGAACACAATGTATTGGAAATATCACAAGATCTACCATTTATTACCTAAACAAATTGGGCACAATAGCAATAAAATATATTATCTTAGAATCAAATTAGATAGTCTATGTAAAAGTGTACTGTTAAAAAGTTCCACGTGTTATCTTACCATATGTAAGATAAGCTATTTCCTAAATCTTTGGACACCTGAGAGTGTATGTGTGTGTGTGTTTGTGTGTAACACAGATTCTAGAATTTGTTTGCTACATAGGGAGGGGAGGGGAAATTTTAGAAAACATTTACTTACTGAATTATCTCATTTATTTGATGATTTTATAAATCTCATATATAGCCTAACAATACTAAATAGTGGGACTACAAAAATAATTCTCCATTAGGAGAGTGAGCATGCTATTCTGAATAGAATTCCCTCGTATTACCAAATGTTACAACTCAGATTCTCCCTAAGAGAAAGGAATAATTTAAAATCCTTTGAGTATACATGATATAATTCTAGAAATTAAAAACCTTTATTATGCTATCCTGAAAAATGTTTTGCTTCCACCTCTTTTATTATATTTATTGAAGCTCGTGCTCTCTGAGTCATCGTGAAGATAATTTTATTTTCATCTACAAAATTTAATAAAATACTTTAGTCTGATTTCCTTTTATGGAATTTACCTATGAAGAAGAAATAAGAGGGTAAAATGAAAGTTGAAGGACTAAGTTGTAGACCTTGCCCTCCTCCACTTTGTACTAAATCACTGAACAAATGATTTACCTCTTAGGCATCATTCCCACTTTCTTTTTTTTTTTTTTTTTTTTTTTTTTAATTAATAAATTTTATTTTTATATTCCCCATACAATTGCAATCCCCCCATTCTGACCCCAATCCCTCCCCTCCCGCCCCCACCCCCAAAAAGTGTCTCTGGTTCATAGTTTTTGTTGATTTTGATTTTCACTTTCTTATAGTTATTCATTTTCCTGGTCCCTTATTTAAGTTTTCTAGATCCCTGCATTCCCACTTTCTTTTAAGGAAAGGTCCATGAATGGCTATTTTTACAGTTCTAAGTTTATATGGTACTCTGAGATTTCACTTCAATAAGATTATTGTAATTCTTGAAGGCAAATATAGCCATTAATTTCTAAAATAAACCTTCAAGTGGATTTGTTTTCAGTGACAGTGTTATATACTGTGGAACTTTTGAAATCACAATTGATATCTGTTTATTTTTAATTCATGTTTAAACTAAAGACTCTACATATTAGAAAGACCTTTGCAGGATACATAGAATTTCATGGTCTCCCTTCCCAATGTAAATTAGGATATTAAAATGTTTAGCAACAGCTTAGTACATTATGAATCAGGGTTCCATTTCCTATTTTACTTTTCCTCTATATTATTCTGGGTGAGATTTTCATGATGTACGAAGAGTAATTTGCTGAAATGGTTGGGAGAAAATGTAGACGCAAAAATATTTATAGTACATGTCTGTTTTAAATTGTATTTATTGAGCCTCCCTGGTGGCACAAGGGGTTAAGATGCAACCTGTGAAGCTAACCACAGCCACTGCAGCATGAGTTCGATCCCTGGCCAGGGAGCTACCCATATGGTGCAGCAGACCTTTCCTGACGCCCGCTGCTCCCCTCAGCAGTGTATTTCAGTCTGCCTGTTCTGTTCCCCACTCTGTCTGGTGAATCCTTGCACCCCCCACACCTCTGGCCAGTACCCCAGTTCTTGTATGCATAAATAAATATTTTTAAAATAAATAAATTGTACTTATTGTTCCATGGAGATTTAGTGAAATTCTGCTGAGGTCTAAGAATGAGGATTCTCTAGTCAATCCTTACCTATATGCCTTTGCAAGTTATTAATTCTCTCTGTACCTCAGTTTCATCATGTATCTCATGGAAACAATAATAGTAATCTGCCCATAGATATTATAGTTATTATAGATATTATAGTTATTATAGTAATGCATTTACCATACAAAATTAATGCATTAAAACACATACCCAGGCCTCCCTGGTGTGCCAGGGGTTAAATCTCAGTGCTAAAACCTCTATAGCCCAAATTCAGTCCCTGGCCAAGGAGCTACCCACATATGGCACCACGGATCTCTCCTGTCTTGCCAGCTGCTCCCCTCAGCAGTGTATTTCAGTCAGTCTGCCTGTTCTACTCCCCACTCTGTCTCTGGTGAATCCTCTCACCCCCATACCTCTTTGCAAAAATAAAATTTTTAAAAAAGCAAACATCCATTTCTCATATATAGCAAATAGTCAAATATAGCCATTTATAAGGTTGATGTTGAATGATTATGATTTTTTAAGTATCTTCATAGATAGGGGGTTATTTTGGTCCAAGAAAAAATTTGTCACAAGTATTAATAAACAGCTTGAAGCACCTGAAAATATGTTATGTGATAAGCTAAGTACACTAATCTCAATTTTTATGTTGTTACACACTTAAAGTGAACTCAATTCTGTTGTATTTTATCACCATTTAAAGGGATTCATTTACAGTAGATGACATTTTTGTCTTGCTTGCTTTTTATGTTAATCATCTGCCTTAATATATTAAATCACAGGATTATTTTAGTGAGGAGCAGTTAAGAGCCTTGAATAATCACAGACAGATGTTGAATGATAAGAAGCAAGCACAGATCCAGTTGGAATTCAGGAAGGCTATGGAATCTGCTGAACAAGGGGAACAAATTTTATCAAGGGATGTTAAAACTGTGTGGAAGTTACGTATCATAAGCTATGAAAAAAAAGAAAAATATTCAGGTCAGTATGTGAATTTTTTGTTTTGTTAAGTTAGAAATTATTAGTTTATTAACATTATTATTTTATTAATAAAATGATTTCAAATACTAGTTAAAAGTCCAAAGTTAGCATACATTAGAGGAGCACAAAATGAAAACATATCCTTTGATCTTTCTTGTCATCAGTAATTTATTTTTAATTTTAGTGATTATTAGTTCTTCCTTTTAGTTGTTGTTCTGTTTTTCTAGTTATATTGAATATCTGGCGTCCATCATCAGATTTACGCTCCCTGTTAACAGAAGGAAAAAGGTACAGAATCTACCATCTTGCAACATCAAAATCTAAAAGTAAATCTGAAAGAGCTAACATACAGTTAACAGCAACAAAAAAGACTCAGTATCAAGAACTACCGGTACAAACTTTTCATAATTTTTTAACTTTGATAAATGCATATTACTTTATAGGATCTACATATACTGATTTTTTTTTTTCTTGTAGGCTTCAGATGAATTTCTACTCCAAGTTTATCAGCCCAGAGAGTCCCTTCACTTCAACAAATTATTAGATGCAGACTTCCAACCACCTTGTTCTGAGGTTGACCTAGTAGGATTTGTCATTTCTGTTGTGAAAAAAATAGGTAATATATGGTGTATGTAATTGTAGCTTTTTATTGATGCTTTTGAAAATCACTTTCTTTTAAATTTTGTCTTCCTTAAGATTAATTGGAGGGCCTCCCCTGGTGGCGCAGGCAGTTGAGCACCGTGCTGTGAAGCTGTTCGCAGCCTCTGCAGCACCGGTTCAATCCCTGCCAGCATGGCAAGGGTCCCACATGGCTCGGCGGACCTCTCCTGTCATGCCTGCTGCTCCCCTCAGCAGTGTATTTCATCAGTCTGCCTGTTCTGTTACCGGCTCTGTCTCTGGTGAATCCTCTCACCCTCCTGCGCATCTGGCCTGTACCCCAATTCTTGTATAAAATAAATAAATCTTTTAAAGAAAAAAAAAAAGATTAATTGGAACTACCATTCATGAAATTTGGAAACAGTTGGTTTGCAAGATTTTTTTTTTTTTTTTTGCCTCTACCTTACCTCCTTGACCCTTTCATCCTTCACCCCGCCCTTTTTTTTTTTAAGATTGATTTATACATACAAGAGCTGGGGTGTAGGCCAGAGGTGTAGGGGGTGAGAGGACTTACCAGAGACAGTGGGGAGCAGACCAGGCGGATCCACTGAAATACACTGCTGAGGGGAGCAACAAGCAAGACAGGAGAGATCTGCTGCACCATGTGGGTTAGCTCCCTGGCCAGGCATCAAATTCATGCTGCAGTGACAGCAGATTGCTTCATAGTGCTGAGGCTTAACCACTTGTGCCACCAGGGAGGCTCTCCCCTCCCTCTTAACCTTAGAAACTCCACTTTGGTTATCAGTGTCTGCAAGTTCATACTAATTTTACTTTGATTCTTTATTTTACTGATATATGTGAAATAATCCCAACTTTGTCTTGATCTTTCTGATTTACTTAATCATACATAATTTCCTCAAGCTCCTTCCATTTTGTGGTAAATGGTAGCATTCCATCTTTCCTTACAGATGAATAGTATTCCATTGTGTTGCTATACCCTATCTTTTTAATCAGTCCTCTATTGGTGGTCACTTAGGTTGCTTCTAAATCCTAGCTCTTTTAACAATGTTACAATTAACTTTGTGGAGCATATAATTTGAGTTTATGGTTTGGTACTCTTCAAAGAGATACCTAAAAGTGGGATTGCTGCATCATATGGTATTCATCTTTTGAGGTTTTTAGGCACTGACTGGTTCCCAGAATGGCTGCAACAGTTTACATTTCCACCAACACTGTATTAGTGTCCCTCTTTCTCCACATCCTCTCCAGCTCTTGTTGGGGGTCTTTTTAGTATATGCCCTATTCACAGGTATAAGATGATATCTCATTGTGGTTTTGATTTGCATCTCCCTCGTTAAGTTTTTCCATATATCTTCTAAATATCCTCGTAAGTAAATAGTCTTTTCAGATCTGCTGCCCATTTTTTAATTGGGCAACTTGGGGTTTGTTTTATGTTTGACGTCACTTGCCATTGATTGATTCACAATTGATGTGACATTGTTTTGTAACAATAAATGTGATTCAGAGGCAGAGGATCACACCTGTTCAGATGCAAGTCACCATACCAAACTCACCACCAAGTTACCCATAGCCCTCCACCATTGTCCGTTGTGTCTCCACCAGAGTCCATTGTGTCTCCCCAACTTTACTCTCCCGTGTCTGCCTCTGGTAGCCTAAATTCTACAGTCAGATTTTTAGGGTTTGTCATTGGTTTGGTTTTTTCTGACCCTTTGTTTTGTATCTCTATTTCACAGGTAAGTGAAACCACTTAGTATTTGTCTTTCTTCTGGCTTTGCTTAGCATTATCTCCTCCAGTTCCATCCATGTAGCAAGTGTTCATCTTTTTATCGCTGAGTTGTATTCCATTATGTACATATACCATATCTTCCTATCCCGTTCCTCTGTCATTAGGCACTTGGGTTCTTGCCATAACTTGGCCATTGTAAATAGTGCTGCCATGAACATAGGAATGCATATTTCCCTTCGTTGTTTCTGCATTCTTCGGGTAGACACTTAGGTATGGAATTGCTGGATCATATGGTAAGTCTATTTTCAATATTTTGCGGAACCTCCATACTGTATTTCATAGGGGCTGAACCAGTCAACATTCCAATCAACGCTTATTCTTGTCTTCTTGATAATGGCCATTCTCCCAGTATGAGATGGCAACTCAATGTGGTTTTGAATTGCATTTCCCCTGATGCTAAATGACAATGCAGGTGAAAAATGGTAAATAACTAGGCTTGTAGTTTAACCTGGTGAAGAACACAAAGCAAGAAGGGCAAAGAATTTGAGGGTGTATGAAAGGAGGGATTTTGAACTTTAAGGATCAACACAGAGGAAAGAGGTGACATTAGGGGAATATGGAAAACTATGAAGGGTATATGAAATAACACTGTGGTTCTAAGAGTCAGAGACATACAAAAGGACATCCTCAGAGAAATGTCTCTCCCAATGTCCCTACTAATTCAATGCTGTTCCTCCTTTTTCCTACACCCTATCCCTGAAGTTTCTGGTTTATTTTTCCTGTATTTGTTTTGCACAAATGGACAAATACATGTCCTTACATCCTCCTCTTTCTTATAAGAATGGTAACAAACTAGCCTTTTGTCCTTTTCCTTTTTGACTTTACATTATGTTTGGAAATCAATTCATAGAGATCTTCCTTATTCTTTTGTACAGCAGCATAATGCCATTGTGTAGAGACACCCTGCTCCTGCCTATAAGCTAATACAAGATGCTTTCAATAGTTATATTTACAGACAGTACTTCAGTAAATAACCTAGGGCCTTGTGTTTAACCTTGTGTTTTCATGTTGACACAAGTTCACATGTATCTGACTAGAGCATATCTTACTATTTTTTCACTTACTATTTATTCAGAGTAGAAGAGTACTAGGAGTGGGTTGCTAGGTGAAAAGGTAAGCACATATGTTCCTTTACTAGGTATTACCAATTTTTTTCTCCAGATGGTTGCACAAATTTGTACTCCCACCAGCAGTATAATACCTGCCTCAATAATAGATATGTTGGGGCTTCCCTGGTGGCACAAGGGGTTAAGCACCGCACTATGAAGCAATCTGCAGCCTCTGCAGCATGATCCCCAGCCAGCCAGGGATCAACCCACATGGCGAGCAGACCTCTCCTGTCTTGCCCACTGCTCCCCTCAGCAGTATATTTCGTCAGTCTGCCTGTTCTGTTTCCCACACTGTCTCTGGTGAATCCTCTCACCTCTCACACCTCTGGCCTATACCCCGGTTCTTATATAAATAAATCTTTAAAAAATAATAATAACAGATATGTTGTCATTGGCATTGAAATTTTAGCACTTTAATCAATAGGTCATTTTGGAAATCCTGAGCTTTCTGTAAATGTAGCTACTTTCATTTGTTTCCACTATTAGCATACCAAAATAAATGGACATACTAGAGTTCCTTGCACTGTAAAATTTATCTAACATATACAATAAAAATTTTTATTCATTTTAGGTCTCGCTCCTTTGGTCTACTTGTCAGATGAATGCCATAATTTTTTGGCAGTAAAGTTTTGGATAGATCTTAATGAAGACATTATGAACCCTCACATGTTAATTGCTGCAAGCAACCTCCAGTGGCGACCAGAATGCAAATCAGAAATTCCTATTCTATTTGCTGGGGATTTTTCCATGTTTTCTGCCAGTCCAAAGGAAGGACATTTTCAAGAGAAATTCCATGAAATGAAAAAGACTATTGAGGTAAAATTAGTATTGAACACTACCACTCATTTTGGTATTTTCCTTTTTGATGGTTAGTTATCAAGGAAGTGGTGACTAGTAAAAATTGGATAGTCAAAGTTAACATAAGGTGGCATTGTCATATATTAATTGCTCATGAAACTGAGGAGATGGGGGATAACAGTTACTGAGAAGAAAAGAACGATTTTCAGGGAATTATCACAATGGTCAGAACTACAGACCATGTGGGCAAACTGGAAATTTACACATTAAATTAAGTTATTTGTGGTTCATAGTAGTTACCAGTGTAATTAGACACCAAATTTACATTTTTAAACTCCAAATCTGGTATTTTATACAGTTTATAGATATATTCAATTTTAAATAATCCTTAATAGAACACTACATTTATTTTCTCTAGATCATAGGGAATGCATTTTGTGCTTATGTCTATACATAATGTCTATACATTATATAATATTAGCTAAAGTTTTTTGAGTGCTTGTTATCTATCAAGTCTTGTTTTATGTCTGTCCATTTAATTCTCCACCAAATTTATAAAGTAGGGAACTGTTTTTACATTTTTCAGTAAGAAGCATAAAGGTTAAATCACACAAATTGGTAAAACCAGAATTCATATTTATACCATCTGAAAGCAGAGCCCAAATTATTTACTATGCAGTGCTGCCTCCCAATAAAATTTCTTAAATTGCTAACTAATAATCTATAAAATTTATGTTATATTTAAATACATTAGAATATCAAGCTATATAAAGCAAGTTTGTGTAATATTTTACCTAAAGACTCAATACACATTGTAAGAATAACACTCTGATTTATATGCTTTCTAATTTGAGGGGCAGATGGTTTACATTCATTATTTGGCTGCTGTACAGAGTACCTACTATTTACATTCCAAGTTTTCTCACAAATAATTCAAGGGCAGTTCAGAGACACCTAACTCATTTACATAGTATTTTGAAGTTTTAGGAAATGTTTTCATGAATTAAGTTAAACCATTTGAAATTGTTGGTAACCATTTATGACTTCTGAACCAGCTATTGCATGTGGTTTAGCTTACACATTATTTCAATTAATTCTTGAAACAGATATGAGGCAGTTCTCTCATTTTACTACTAATCAAAGGAGAACTTTAGATATTAGATGTTTCATGGTGTTAGGTAATAAATAGAGCTGGAGCCCCCATCTTTTACCTCCATGTCCAGTACCTTCTTGCTAATTGAACTGGATGGTTAAGAAGATCTCTTATCTTTTTTCCTGACATATACACACATACTTCCTTTCTCCCTCCAACAATTAAGTTCCTTTCATTTCTGGTTTTGTTTTGCTTTTTGCACTGGCATGTTTTTCTACAGTGGCAATATCATTCTGGTTTGTTTTGTCTGTATTTTTTATTTCTGGCTTTAAAGGTAAGCCTTTCTGAAAACAGGAATGTGTGGGTTTACATTTTATCAGTTTTTCCAATCTGTTTTCTTAGAATATTGAAGTATTTTGCAATGATGCAGAAAACAAGCTTATGCGTATACTTAATGCAAATGATCCCAAGTTTTCCACCCCGACTAAAAACTGTACTTCAGAGCCACATACTACTGAAACAGTCCTTGGAACAGGAAGTAAGTTTCTGGTAAGTTATGTAAATTTAATAAGTTTTATAAATACTACATATGGAGACAATATATTCTGGTGTATATCTAGAATAAACATGGTAAAATGTAATTTAACTTAATATAGAAAGTATGGTTATCTGGAAATTCTATGTTAATTAAAACTAGAATGTAACCTTCTTTGAGGGCAAATTTTACCAACAAGTGTTTTCATTTTTAGTATTCCAAGTATTAGTGTTTTGAAAGAATTCTATGCCTGTGTCCTTTTGCTAGGAGAACTATTTTAACAATTAGGGTTATTTCTAAGCTCAACTTAACTCTTTAAATCACAACTGCAAATCAAGCCAAAATTTATAATATTGGCTAGTGCCATTTGCTAAGTATATCTGCAGAGCTCATTTAATTTTCACAACCCTATTAGATAAAAATTACAAAAAATACGGCATAGAAAGGTTAAGCAATTGCCTAACATCACAAAGTTAGAAAAGTAGATATTAGAATCCAGGAGGTCTGTGTTCTTAAATTGGTTCTTAAAATATTTATCTTTATTTAATCTGTTACTAATAAAAAAGATTAAAGCACAAGTTATGTCTTCCACCTGTTTTTTTGTCTTTAACAGCAAGTAATCTTCATCTTTCTTTGCATATCATTGCTATAGCCTCTTATACAAAACTATCATAATGATTTCATGAAACTCTCTTGAAAAATCTGACCTATTATTAGCCACTGGGGAAGTGAGAATATATGTGGTACTGGTGGTTTAAATATTTTAGTGAAAAGCTTTTTTTATATATTAGTACATAATTATATATGCTACTTTTTTTAATTAATTTATATTTTTATTAGGTGTCTCCTACCAATAGGGAGTTGATTTATCGAACTCCAGTATCCCTTTGTAAGCCAAAAGGAAAGTCTGTTTCCACACCTGTATTAGCCCAAATTACTTCAAAAGAAGAAAAAGAGATTGATGACCCCAAAAACTGCAAAAAGAGAAGAGCCTTGGATTTCTTAAGTAGAGTGCCTTTACCTCCACCTGTTAGTCCCATTTGTACATTTGTTTCTCCAGCTGCACAGAAGGCATTTCAGCCGCCACGGAGTTGTGGCACCAAATATGAAACACCTATAAAGAAAAAAGAATTGAATTCTCCTCAGCTGACTCCACTTAAAAAATTTAATGACATTTCTCTTTTAGAAAGTGATTCAATAGCTGATGAAGAACTTGCATTGATAAATACCCAAGCCCTTTTGTCTGGTTCAGGAGGAGAAAATCAACTTATTAGCGAATCCACTAGGACTGCTCCCACTAGTTCAAAAGATTTTCTTGGACCAAAAAGACATTATACTAAATTGGTGATCAAAGAACAGGAGAATTCCCAAGCCATTACTGAAGAACATGAGACTAATATGCAGGACGTGAGTACAATAAAAAATATTTCCAAGAGATTGCAAAGGCGACAAAAACGAAAATGACACTAAGCTATTAACTCTTAACCTTTCCAGTTTGTAAAATATATAATTTCAAATTACATATCAGCATTTGTTTACTAAGAAATGGAAGCTTTTCCAGATTTATGTCAGTGCTTGTATACCATTAGAATGTTCTTTGTCTGCTTCTATAGTGATACTTTTATTTCATTTATGTCTTAAAACTGTGTATTTATTAACTAATCAAGAAAAAATTATGACTGGATTTGATTACTATAATATTTTACAAACAAAAAGGAAACATACCTCTTTTTTAGAATTGTGTCCTTAATTAAATGAACTACATTTAAAAGTACAGGCATTTTGGCTTAATTCCTTTTAGCTTAGTTCACATTTTAGGTTTTGTGTGTGTTGGTTTTTTTAAGAGGTAACCCACTATGAATCAGTTTTCCTAATGCACTCATTGGTTCACTAGTTCCATCCTAATCAAAAGTCAAGTTGAGTGAGACATTACAGGGGTGTTTTCTTTTCACCAATTCTTCATCCTTAAGTCAGCATGACTACAAGGAAAATAGAACCTTCAATTAATTCTTTTTATGGCATCCAATATGATCTCGTAAACTGTTTCAGTTAAAAATTTAAATATTTTAAATCAGAAGCAGATTTCATAGTGGTTTTTTTTTTAAAAAAAAACTACAGGATTATCTGGACCACAACTTGAAGAGAAAATCTTTCTTTTAAATTGACAATGATTCTATATATATGTTTTGTTTTTTAACGCTATCACAGAGCTCAGCAAGTACTCTATTTTAAACTTACTCTTTTCTAACCACCAGAGCAGAAGATAATAGTTTAATTTATGATATTCTTATTCGTTACTTTCTTACGTTTGAGAAGAGAAAGCAATTCTAATGAGCTAATAGCATGGGGAAGCTCATAGATCAGGTTTTTGATATGCCTTAAATTTATACATTTTCAAATCTAAATATAAACATATTTCAAAGTCAGGAATAAATCCTTTTAAAAAGCAATTTGTTTTCTTAACTGTGCCTTCATGATTCTTCTTACTTCTAAAAAGCATTTACATAATATTTCATTCTGCTATTCCTTTTAACTTAAATGTTCTGCCATTTTTATTAATGAGATTTTAAATTTTGTCATAAAAAAATTTTGTTTTCACATCCTAATAATTTCCCTGCTGATTATTCCCACTCTACAATATAGAATAAAACTTGAGTCTCAGGTGAACAGAGGGAATTATAAATATTGCCCTGTTTTTTGAATCCTAGAAAAATTGAACTGCTTTTACTTCCTCCATTGTTCATTACTATCTAGATTATCCATTATAGAGAGACCTAATGCAAAAACTAGGTAAATTATTATAAGGTTTAATTATAAACTATGTATAAAGTTCATACATAGTTCAAACTTCATACAGCTTCAAACTATGTATGAAGCTTAAGTGTATGTTGATATTAGTACCCCCGAAATTAACAATTTAATAATTTAGAGTCAACCATGTACACGGCATAAGGGATAAATGGTAAAAGCAATTCTTGTTACTTAGTATTCAGCGGTCACTTAATGCGACCCTATTTTGTACACAAAACACTATGCCAACTATATGAAACAGGTAATAATACACAAAACAATACAAATCAATTTTGAGTGTTTGAAAAAATAGTATAAAGTCAGGTGCTATGGGATTTGAAAAAAAAAAATAGTTTATTTCTGACTGCAAATGAAATTGGAACATTTAATCAATTTTTTTTATGCCGCCAAACTAGATATTTCAGGAATCATATAAGGAAAAAGTGGCAAGTAGCTCAGGGAACTATTCTGCTGAACTCTAGAATAGCTCTCAATCTATAACCTATAGTCACTTCTTTAAAGATTTATTTATACAAGAACTGGGGTACAGGCCAGAGATGTGGGAGGGTGAGAGAATTCACCAGAGACATAGAGGGGAATAGAACAGGCAGACAGACCGAAAACACTGCTGAGGGAAGCGGCAGGAGAGGTCTGCTGCGCCATGTGGGTATCTCCCTGGCCAGACGGGAATCGAGCCCGCACTGTAGAGGCTGCAGACAGCTTCAGAGTGCTGCACTCAACCTGCTGCGTCACCGGGGAGGCCCCACGTATAGTCACTTCTTAATAGTGATCACTCGGCACAGGTGAACCAGGAGGCCTAAGTAGAAAGTCTGACCTAAATGGGGAAGGCGTAGATTCTAACCCTTTTGGCTGTTCCTGTTGGATCAAAGGAATGTAATTCCCTTTTTGGACTCTCTGACCCTTCCTCCCCTTATTATCTTAAATGAGTTAAGCTATCTAGATTGAGCTAGTTCTGAAATAACAATACTGACTAGGAGACCCAAGATTATCTAGGCCTGAAAAAGCAATGTTAAAAGATTACCATAATTAGATTATTATGTGTTGTACCTGGATATACAGAATTTAGTAAAGTAATATTTAGTTAATTAAAATTAAAGTTTGTCAGCCAAACTGTTACAAGTTTTTTCATGTTCATGAAGAAAAAAATTAGATACACTGCTATAGTCATGAGGATGTTGAGTAGATTTCAATAGTCTCAAATAATGGAATATTAAAGTAATATAGTCTTTCTAGTATACACTGATCAATGTACATAATCAAGTAATATTTATTAAAGAAGACTAGTAAATAAGATTATGATATAGGGAAACCAGTTCTTATGGTAGAATTCTGTAGGACCTAGGTAATTAAATACTTTGTTTTCAACACCACCACAACGCTTAGATTGAATGACAAATCCATAAACCAATACCATATATAATTTTTAATAACAATAAAAGCACCATTTAGTACACTTAAAATAATACTTCACAGAACATTAGAAAGAAGCTGTTGGCCAACAAAAAACAAAGCATACATCCTACATGGTCTTATCTATTATGGTCTCATAGCAAATCTGATTATAACCTGTGGAGATTTAATTTGAATTCATAAGTTCCATATTGACATGAAAGGGACATTGCAGAGTTGTGGTAGAATTTTGTCTTAATGCCACATAAGACACCAAGAGCTCATTTTATAAAGGGCATGACTTTCACATATTTATATATCACCTATATCCTGGGATGCTTGTTTGTACTCCCAAACATTTACGCTGCCAACTGATTACACACATGTTTATAGGCACACATAACTTTTAAAATTGCTTGATCCTCTTAAAAACTGTTGTTTTGTAAATGTAGGCTTGTTTTATTTACACTATTAGCACAACAGCCAATGATTCAGGTTTAATCCTGTTCAAAAAAGTGGTTAAAACACAAGATGTGACTTAAATAATGACACTAATTTTCCTCAATTGTGCAACAGAACTTGACATTTTTAACAATGATAAATCACTAGAATAAAGGACTAATTTCCCAAAATGAATACGTTCAAGGGCAGTATTCCTTAGATGCATACTTTCTAGTATATTCATTTTAATAGGAAATTAGTATCATTACAGCCACACATCTCACATTTTTGGATTCCTAGATTATCAAAGTAGCAATGGCACTAAAAATTTTCCTGTCTCCACTTCTCTTCCCCCATCTTTCCAATTTTCCTGACAGAGATGAATTTCCTGAAAAAATAGATTACTTCAGAGTAAGGGGTACTAAAGCTTGTATATATCATAAATACATTGGTGTCATTATTTATGGACTGATTATGTTCTTAGGTTTCAGTTTCAAATTCCTAGGGAAACTGACTTTGTTTTATCAAACCTGCAGAATTTTCAGCATCAGACCATGCATATAGGGTCACCTGAACAAATGCTGGTTGAAGATGAATATAATGACTTCTCAAAAACTTTCAGATTTGATTTTTTACACTGTAATTAGAGCTCTGACTAAAACTGAACAAAGAATAAATACTAAAAATTGAAGTAAAAACTTCTTTAGGAAAATTTTCGGTGCCTGTAAGGTAGGCCTCTAATATCCATGGTGACAACCACCCCTTCTGTTAAAGGAGCTCTCATTTGTGAAGCCACCATGAGCCCTCCGGTTTGGAAATTCTGTGTAGGTATTCCAGTATCCTGCACCGTTGGAAGGTGATGCATTATTCCTGTCCTGGTTTCTGTTCATTCTGCTTGGTTTTTCTGCATGAAGCACACTGTGAAAGGTAACATCGTGTTCATACCGTTCTTTCATTCGGTGTATTTTTTCTCTGGGAACTCCATGAATGTTTCTTCTATGTGGAAAATAATGCAAATATTTAGTAAGTCAATATATCAGGATGAGCTACTTGTACTTTACATAGATATTACATAGATATGCACTCCCTACTCTCAGGATTTAACACTGACAAAAGCCTAACATCTTGTTGAGCAATTCTCTTTCAGGCCCACTCCTATTTTCATGCTGCCCTGCATACCCCCAGACTACCCTGAGGCTAGCAAGAAGCTAAAGGTTCAGAAATGCTTTATTTCTGGAAATCTCAATTCTGTGCATCAAGACATAGAGGCCTCCACAAAATATTTTTATTGTATGTTTTACTGTTAATCATGCATATATCATCTATTTATGTCCATTGGTCTTAGATGCTGCTACATGCTTATAAAAACATTTCTAGATGCCTCTTAAATTCTAGAGGATCTGAGAAATAACTAGGGATATAGTTAGAAATGTAATTACCAGAGATTCCAACTACAGAAGAGGGTCCATGAACAAGGAATTTAAGAACTACCTCAGGTAATTCTAATAGCAGTAGTCCACAGACCCACTTTGGAAACACTATCTTTTATAACCATAAGAATGAATGAGCCTCATTCCTAAAAAGTAAATTCTGATCTCACTGATTACTTTATAAATCATTAGCTTCATCAAATAACACAAATGGTGGATCTCAAACCACACATTCAGTAAGTTAGTAGTATTACGACATTTACTGCTTTATAAATTAGAAGCAGCATCTAGACCATAAGTGAACTACAGACTGTTCAACATCTAAAAATATTTAGCCTAAATGCAAAAAAATCACTGACATGTGCAATCCCATGCAGAATAAAGAGTTTTTAAATGTTCATAAATGAAGCATTTTAGCAAACTGTTAAATGTGTGCTTTTAAAGGATCAAGTCCAAGCCAAGATTTAGCATTGTATTAGAAAACAGACCCAAGTCTAAAGTCTTTACATTAATAATTCCAAAGTTATCAATTTCCAAGAATTACCATTTCTGGCCTGAAAACTACCATGTCCATTTCCAGCCTGAAAAGATTCTTTTGTTCGGTCTGAAATACCTGAAAATAGCAGGATACATAATGAGGAACTAGAAAAACAAAGAAGTACCTTGCTAACTCTTGAACGTTGAATTTCCAGCGAGTGTCAGGTTCTCGGAATATAACTTCATAGTTATTTTCAAGTGCCTGATTTTTCAAAAGTACATAAAACATTGAAGACATGGTATGTATGTTTGGGAATGCGTATGCTGCCATTTAACATTTATTACAAATCTTCTCTAAAATTTCTCACTTTACCAGTAATCCACTGACTGTCTTAATTTATCTTAATGCATACAGTTGGTATGTTTCTATATTTAGCCATTCTGATTATATTATGGCTCCCAGTGACAAATTTTAGTCAGTTTTATCTACTATGTAGGAAAATTAAAAAGATTCTTTGTTTTGGACATTTTTTAAAATAGGCAGCTGAACTAATTTAAAATATCCTCTCCACAGGTATGAGTAATGAATTCAATGATTTCTCAAAGTCTGCTGATAGGTTACCACAGATTTGCTGTCAAATGTCTTCTATTCCTTATGCCTTGGTTTAGGAAGTGACAGTGCCATGGGATCAGACCTTATGAAAAGAAAGTGATTTCCACATACTTTACTCTCTCCTCCAAAAGTAGCTTCCCCTGCTATGTAATACAGTTGGTTCAATGTGCTGTGCCCCATTCCCTTGAGTTTAGAAAACTACTTAGTTTCCATATAGATACCCAGATATTCTTCACATTCCTACATTGACTAAAACTTTTTCTTATCTCAAACTGAACTTTCTATTATCAATATTGGTTACTGTATTATAAAATAGAGAATGAAAGGTGCTAAGTAACAAGAGTTCCTCTTCTTCAAATGAACACTTCTAATTAGGAAAGATTATCACATATAGAAAATATCTAATTTTTGGGTCTTACTAGCTGTGGATGGCTGAAAGTGATTGTAAATAGCCAGAAAATAAAAATTAAAATGATTTCCCTTAGGCCACTCAGTTTACCTCTATCTAATTCTTGATTTTTCAGCTGTGCCTTATTAATTTGACTCTTCATGTGCCTGCTCGTTTCTCTCCCGAGTGGCCTATCAGGTCAGGAAACTGAAGTAACCACAAAGTTGATATTCATTCTTTCCTACTTTCACCAAAGTCCCACAAACTTGAGTGTATGTAAAACTGATGAGAAGTATAGTTAGGGGAAAGCACACCTGTATGTAAGCTATTTTGCCCAATATGTGCAAAGAGGCCTAAAGCTAGACTACCATCAGTTCAGTCTTAGAGATAATTCACTTTATTATTAGTCAAGTAGAATTATGTGTGACAAAAAGGGAAGATTCCGCTATCTTCCTCCTGCCCCACTATGTTTCTGGATATTTTCCCCTTTCTATACCTAATCCTAATAGGGAATGGAAACTTGTTAACATAGAGATGAAATGTCTGAACAAAGATCAGACATTTCAAAATATAAAATGTATATATTGTTTTGTCTTCTTATTCTGACAATAGAGTACTGAGGTATCTTTATGTCTATTTTTATTTGTCTTCTGGTACCTTAGTAAATGTACAGGGTTAATCCTAAATCTATTCTTAAACTGAAAAATTCTGTTGCCCTGGAACTCCCATACAAAGCAATGAAACCCCCAGCTTGCCAGTGACAATAGAGCATCATCGAGTTCAATGTTTCTGTGCAGACACTAATGGATGCTCCTATATAAGCCTTCCCTTAAGAAGACAACCAAACAGAAAAGCTATCAAGAGTTCAGACCAACAACTATTTTAAAGTTGTACTCTAAGTGATCTTAGCATCTCAGCAAATTCCAGCCATTGAACAGCAGAGAAACACTAGAATAAAACCTGAGAGAACTACTGTTAATAAATATGAGATCATGGAAGATCAGAAAAAGGAAAGAACAAGTGTTTCAACTTCTCACAAAATGTCCATAACTGAAAATTCAGAATGATACTTCTTCCTACCATGACTGCATAGGGCTTCATTTCCCAGGCGTGGAGGTTGGTATTATCAATAATAATGGGGGATATGCCATTCCTCATTGCTTTTCTTGCTGCAACACAATGTTATATAACAGTGAACAACATGCAATAATCAAAGAGAAGGATGAGTGTACTCCACATTTTGTTATTTTTATTACAGGATGTCCTCATTACACAACTTTAATGCCACCTATTTCAGAACCCATTATCAATAATATTCTGTTTCCTGGAATCTAGGGAGGTTAATGGCAGAACTTTGGGTTAAGCTCCTTTCATAAAACATTCATTTTGCAGCAGCTACAATCTATGTGCACAATAGGATTTCCCAGGAGTTTGGAAAGGAATTTGTCACCTCTTCTCTGGTTCCATTCATGAGCTTCCTCCAGGAAGTCAGGATTGAATTCGTAGGCACCATCTTCCCTGAAGAAAAAATCATCCGTGCTGAAAATCAGGGCTCTGGGAAAGTCCTGTTGCAATTGTCTGGAAAGTGGGGAAATAAGAGATTATTTTTTGACTGTGCAGAGTCATAACAGAAAGTACTTCCTTCCATCTCTAACAGTTAGCTGCTTGTAATGATGAGACCACCAGGTTTCGAGTTGTTGACATTCAATTTTAAAAAGCAAGGCAATTATTCTCTCTAGGCAGTACTACTCCTAGTAGTCAGAAAGGGCTGGAAGCTGACTAAGTGTTTCAACTCTTGAAATTAAGTGCTGGTCATCTTGTGTGTGCCAACCCTACTGGATAACATTTACATGTTAACATGTAAATGTGGACTATCAGGTCAGGAAACCACAAAGTTGATATTCACTGTTAACAGTGACCTACACCAACTGGGAAAAGAAAGAAGAACAAGAAGAGAAAAAAAAGGGAGATCTAATATTCCAGATGCCTTCTTTATCCCCTCTATTACTTTCTCAAAATATGAAAATTCAGAGAAACACCATCACTGAGTGCCTCTTTAAAGAAAAAAAAAGCTGTATTAAATTATATACAAAATAACTTCAAAAAGATGCTGCCACTTGAAATCCATATTCAGACTTATTTGGAAGAAGACAGATACTAAGTCATAGCTGTGACTGGGGGACTCTCCAAGGCCCCCTTCCCCACCTGTAAAATTTGAGGATAATGTCACTCTGTCTAGATTACGATAATGACCTAATACCATGGGAAGCACCTAGTGTAGTGCCTGACACAATGAATGTTTCTTTTTCACTATAGCATTCACCAGTCCAATTCTAATTTCAAAACAAATTTAACTGGCAAACAGAAAATATGACCAAATGTGGCCCTGCTCGGAATAAAAAGATATTTAAAACTTGGAAGGAAAAAAAATTTGGAAAATGAAAGGGCACAAAATACAAAGAGAAAGCAGAGTTGTTCAATTCTTTTTGATGGGGACAAGGGTGATAGGGTCTCTTGAGAAGAATTATCTTTCATGAAGAAAGAACAGAATATACAAAAGGCACCAGAGCCACACATAATGAGGCCCTGCTCTAAAAGACCTGGTTCAACTCTTGACTCTTCTACTATCTAATCATGGGACTCTTAAGTTTTCAAGACTGAAAAATACAGATCATAATTTCTGTCTAATCAACCAAGCTTCTAGTAAGGCTCAAATGATGTAAGGTATGGGAAAACATGCAAATGGTAAAGCACCTAAGAAATGTAGAGCACTGTTATTTTAATAATGATAACAAGTGCGTTTCAAATTTACTAACCCAGGCTGTTTACATGCCTTGTAGTAGTCAAGTACAGTGGAATGCAATCTTGCAATTACTGCCAGTAAATCAGAGAGTATTGTAATGAATGAGAAAGATGAAAGACCACAATAAAGCAAATTCCTTAGCTTTCAAAAAGAGTAAACATGTGCCAGAAACAGTAAACAAATACATATCTGTCAAAATTCTTGATGGCATTTAAAAAGCAAGCAGGATAGATAGCTGAAAAAGGAATTCCAAACTAAAACTTTTTTTTTTTTGATGGGCTATTGTGGTAAACAGGGAAAACCCATGAACATAATCTTAAATCTTTAAACAGGAATCTGTAGGTCTCTTGATGGGCTTGTGAGGAAATGTGGGTCAGCAGATATTATATTTTAATACCCAAAGAATATTAATTATCCAACTCATTAAACATTTATTGCACACTTAACAAGTGCCAAGTACTATAAAGTGCATTTATTTAAAAATAAAAGAAGTTGCTTTCAAGGAATTCACAGCTTAGCCAAGAAGTCAGATTGCTGCACAGCTGACTTCACACACAGTGAGAAAAGCTGAGTAAGAGAATTACTAAGAACTGGGGGTGAGGATCAAGTTCTGACGGAAAAACACTATAAAGAAATTGCATTTGACTTGGACCTTGAGGGATGAGGCAAAGTGCCTCTTGGGGAAGGAGTTAAGAACAATGGTGGTAAAAGGAAGAAGCTAATGCTTAGGTTCTTATGAACAAGTGACTCTAAGGGAAAACGAACAAAGACATGAAAGCTTAAAAATGGCAAATCATGTTTGAAACACTTCGATTCTGAGTGCCATACCAGTTAAAGAGAATGTGGCAAGCTTCAGTATGTCCAATATGACCATATAAATATAAGGCCCAAAAACCATGGCAACTATGTCAGATGAGCAAAGATTATTAAAGAAATGTGATGCATTTAAGACGAGAACAGATGATAGAAGTGTTACTTGAGGATAGTCATCCTCAGAGGCTGGGAAGTCCGTTGTATGGAAAGGGAATGAATTTATTTTGTGGGTCAGCAATTTGGGTTGGGCATGACTGGGCGGTTTAGCTGGTCTTGCTTGGGACCACTCAAGCAGGGATATCATCTGGCAAGAGGAGGGCTGAATATAAAGCAGACATCACTCACAAGTCCACCTGTGCCTGCTGTCAGCTGGCTTGTGATCACGTGACCTCCCATCCTAAAGGAGGATGAGCCAGGCCTCTTCACTGACTATTGTGTTTCCAGATGACTAGTGTGGAAGTACCACAGTCAAGACCAGTCACTATCCTGGCCCACATTGAAGGGAGAGGTTCAAAGAAAACTGACCATTTTTAAATCTACCACAGACAGAGAAAAGCGAGGTGATGAAAACTATAAAGATTTGATGAAATTTGCACAGTTTCCAAATAAGTGTCTTTTCTGACAATAAAGATGCTCAAACTGAAAAGCCAAAATCATAAACCCAAAGTTTAACTTCCAATGCGAGCTATAATAAGGACTCCTTCGAAAAAAATCTAAGGGCAGCACTGAGTGCATTTTCAGGTATGTACATTTTATATTTGTGAATACTTTAATTTTTTTTAATTTATAGTCATCAATGTTATCTAGTCTAAGGAATGAAAGTGAAGTTTGGAAATTAAATAAAATGTGTAATTTAAGCAACTATGGAAATTAGTTCTAAGATTTTTTTTTCCTTGATCCTACATGCCTTCTAAATATGGTCCCATTTTTCTACTATGTGTGCCACTCGTAAGATTGGTTTTGTTTAGCCTTATCTGCTCTTACTTCCCCCCTTTATGGGTGATATTACAAGTTAATGCTCTGCAATGTTCCCTTTAGAAAAGCTATAAGGCATGTAAATCCAATTCACATTTTGTTGTATTTGAATCGTATTCCCTTGTAGAAATAAAACCAAAAGAAACAAAAACTACTGCCCTTCTTGATTACAAATGTTTACCTTAGAATAAAAGTGAAAGTGTTCAGAACCACCACAGCTCTCCACCACCAGCTCGTCATTTCTCAAAACATGAACTGCAGCCTACATGATCCTCCTCACAAACTGGCAGGCCAAACTATCAGTGTTTTTCATGCCATGGGGTTTTACAGCTCAACAGAATTTAGGGTGACGGTGTCCATATGATCTTCTGATCATTCCTTCAAAAACCTGTTTTATCTTCACCTGTATATTAAAGTAGCTCTGACAGCCACAGCAGCACCTTGAATATGCAGGACAGTAAGTCTCCTAACTACATTAAGACCTGATTACATAGACAATCTTGAGACTCTAAAACTTAAGCAGAAGCAATAAATACCAGTCCATCAGCTTCAGAAGTCATGTAGATAATGCCCCAGCTCTAGCTTTCTTTATGGTGTCAGGAGCCTCATGAATTAGGGAAAATGAGAGAATGAAAACAAAAGGGAAAAAATAGACAATTACTTCCATGTAATCTTCACTTCCCCAGCTCCCCCCACCCAAATTTATTTAAAATCACTGCTATGAAAGATCTCAAGTAACTAAGCTTGATTTCACAACTTATTCTTCTGTTTAGCTCTTTATTTAAAAATAGAGAACCACAGAAATATATTTAGATAGATATTCAACACTCACTCATTGACAATGTCCAGTATTACTATGTAATTTTGAGTTATACATAACCCCAACTTTTTATTATGGAAATGTTCAAACATATTCAAAAGTAGACAAAATAATCATTCCTTATGTACCCAGAGTCCACTTTCAATGGTTATCATCATATGGCCAATCTTGTTTCATCTGCTTCATACTTAATTTCATCAAATATCCAGTGAGTGGTCAAATTTCCAAAACATTTTCCTATGGTTCGTTTCTTCAAATTAGGAGTTAAGCAAGACCCACACATTATGTTTGATTGCCAATTTTAATTATTCTATACTTTTCACTTTTTTTATTTCCATCTGAATTTTTCCCACACAATCTTATATTTAGAAAATGTTCAAATCTATAGAAATCTATACAAAAGAATAATATAGTGAACACTGCTTACCCTTCATCTCCTTTATTTAATGTCTCTAAGATGTATTTTGATGAACATTTTGAAAATAAGTTTCAGACATGACACTTTATTCCTAAATTCTGTCGAGTGTCTCCTATAAAGAAGAACATTTTCCTATATAGCAATACCATTATCACATCAAAAAAATTAACATAAATTTATAATAGCTAATGTTAATAGATTCTATTTTTTTTTAATTTCTCTGATGGTTCCCGCAAATATTTTTCATTGGCTCAAGCACTGCATTTGGTTATTATCTCTCTCTAGTATCCTTTCATCTGGACCTGTCCTCATGCCTTTTCTGGTTTCCCTGCTTGAAGAGCCTAGGTTAGCTGTTTGAAAAGGCCCCAGTTCTTTGTTTGATTGTTTCCTCATGGTTCGGTCCAGGGTAAACATTTTTGGAAGTAAAGTACAGAGGTGTTGTTTATGTACTTCTGATTGCACATAGCAACAATTTTGTACTATCATGCTGAGTTTCAATCACTTGACTAAAAGATGTTGTTAGCCAGATCTCTCCATTGTAAAGTTACTTGCTTCCCTCATAATATTAAATAATGTGTATTTGGAGTGATACTGTGGGGGCCTCCCACCCCCACCATGTAGAAATCCTTTTCCCTGACAATCTCTCCCTCAGTGTTCTTCACATCCATTGCTGACACTACCCAAGTCAAATATTACATTGGGAACTGCAGAATATTGACTTTTCTCATTCTGTAATTTCTTCTATACCA